CCTTCTGGGAATTGAAGGGGTTCAAAGTTGGTTTTTTTTTTTTTTTTACGTTAAAACCGTACATTCTTTCGGCAAGTCTCGCCAGCTCCGTACGGCAAAGTTCGACACCGGACATAGCTCAAATGAAAGGTAATGAATCAGAGCAGGACCCACTGAAATGATTTTTTGGGGTTTGGACCTTCTGGGAATTGAAGGGGTTCAAAGTTGGTTTTTTTTTTTTTTTTTACGTTTCCACCGTACATTCTTTCGGCAAGTCTCGCCAGCTCCGTACGGCAAAATTCGACACCGGACATAGCTCAAATGAAAGGTAATGAATCAGAGCAGGACCCACTGAAATGATTTTTTGGGGGTTAGGACCTTCTGGGAATTGAAGGGGTTCAAAGTTGTTTTTTTTTTTTTTTTTACGTTTCCACCGTACATTCTTTCGGCAAGTCTCGCCAGCTCCGTACGGCAAAGTTCGACACCGGACATAGCTCAAATGAAAGGTAATGAATCAGAGCAGGACCCACTGAAATGATTTTTTGGGGGTTAGGACCTTCTGGGAATTGAAGGGGTTCAAAGTTGTTTTTTTTTTTTTTTTTACGTTTCCACCGTACATTCTTTCGGCAAGTCTCGCCAGCTCCGTACGGCAAAGTTCGACACCGGACATAGCTCAAATGAAAAGTAATGAATCAGAGCAGGACCCACTGAAATGATTTTTTGGGGGTTAGGACCTTCTGGGAATTGAAGGGGTTCAAAGTTGGTTTTTTTTTTTTTTTACGTTTCCACCGTACATTCTTTCGGCAAGTCTCGCCAGCTCCGTACGGCAAAGTTCGACACCGGACATAGCTCAAATGAAAGGTAATGAATCAGAGCAGGACCCACTGAAATGATTTTTTGGGGGTTAGGACCTTCTGGGAATTGAAGGGGTTCAAAGTTGGTTGTTTTTTTTTTTACGTTTCCACCGTACATTCTTTCGGCAAGTCTCGCCAGTTCCGTACGGCAAAGTTCGACACCGGACATAGCTCAAATGAAAGGTAATGAATCAGAGCAGGACCCACTGAAATGATTTTTTGGGGGTTAGGACCTTCTGGGAATTGAAGGGGTTCAAAGTTGGTTTTTTTTTTTTTTTTTACGTTTCCACCGTACATTCTTTCGGCAAGTCTCGCCAGCTCAGTACGGCAAAGTTCGACACCGGACATAGCTCAAATGAAAGGTAATGAATCAGAGCAGGACCCACTGAAATGATTTTTTGGGGGTTAGGACCTTCTGGGAATTGAAGGGGTTCAAAGTTGGTTTTTTTTTTTTGACGTTTCCACCGTACATTCTTTCGGCAAGTCTCGCCAGCTCCGTACGGCAAAATTCGACACCGGACATAGCTCAAATGAAAGGTAATGAATCAGAGCAGGACCCACTGAAATGATTTTTTGGGGGTTAGGACCTTCTGGGAATTGAAGGGGTTCAAAGTTGGTTTTTTTTTTTTTACGTTTCCACCGTACATTCTTTCGGCAAGTCTCGCCAGCTCCGTACGGCAAAGTTCGACACCGGACATAGCTCAAATGAAAGGTAATGAATCAGAGCAGGACCCACTGAAATGATTTTTTGGGGGTTAGGACTTTCTGGGAATTGAAGGGGTTCAAAGTTGGTTTTTTTTTTTTTTTTACGTTTCCACCGTACATTCTTTCGGCAAGTCTCGCCAGCTCCGTACGGCAAAGTTCGACACCGGACATAGCTTAAATGAAAGGTAATGAATCAGAGCAGGACCCACTGAAATGATTTTTTGGGGGTTAGGACCTTCTGGGAATTGAAGGGGTTCAAAGTTGGTTTTTTTTTTTTTTACGTTTCCACCGTACATTCTTTCGGCAAGTCTCGCCAGCTCCGTACGGCAAAGTTCGACACCGGACATAGCTCAAATGAAAGGTAATGAATCAGAGCAGGACCCACTGAAATGATTTTTTGGGGGTTAGGACCTTCTGGGAATTGAAGGGGTTCAAAGTTGGTTTTTTTTTTTTTTTTACGTTTCCACCGTACATTCTTTCGGCAAGTCTCGCCAGCTCCGTACGGCAAAGTTCGACACCGGACATAGCTCAAATGAAAGGTAATGAATCAGAGCAGGACCCACTGAAATGATTTTTTGGGGGTTAGGACCTTCTGGGAATTGAAGGGGTTCAAAGTTGGTTTTTTTTTTTTTTTTACGTTTCCACCGTACATTCTTTCGGCAAGTCTCGCCAGCTCCGTACGGCAAAGTTCGACACCGGTCATAGCTCAAATGAAAGGTAATGAATCAGAGCAGGACCCACTGAAATGATTTTTTGGGGGTTAGGACCTTCTGGGAATTGAAGGGGTTCAAAGTTGTTTTTTTTTTTTTTTTTACGTTTCCACCGTACATTCTTTCGGCAAGTCTCGCCAGCTCCGTACGGCAAAGTTCGACACCGGACATAGCTCAAATGAAAGGTAATGAATCAGAGCAGGACCCACTGAAATGATTTTTTGGGGGTTAGGACCTTCTGGGAATTGAAGGGGTTCAAAGCTGGGTTTTTTTTTTTACGTTTCCACCGTACATTCTTTCGGCAAGTCTCGCCAGCTCCGTACGGCAAAGTTCGACACCGGACATAGCTCAAATGAAAGGTAATGAATCAGAGCAGGACCCACTGAAATGATTTTTTGGGGGTTAGGACCTTCTGGGAATTGAAGGGGTTCAAAGTTGACATTCAAAGTGTACGGTTTTTTTTTTTAAACAAAAAAATCTTTACATTTCTTTTAAGTAAGGATGCTTGCCGTACAAAATAGTGCACGTATACTTTCAATTCAAAATATTGTTTGTGGGCATGAAATGTACTCTTACAGTTTGTTATTTTGTATGTTTTCATTTTCAGTATAGGGAATAGACATTAAAAGTTCCTTTTCTAGAAAATAAAGGATATTTGAGGATGCCGAGTGTATGGAAAGCCAGTATATAGTTATTCTTTCGCACATAATATTTTTCTTATTTCGTTTATTTGAAAGCTGATACATTGTACAAATGAACAAGTTTAAGTGAACTCACATTAGATAGTTATTCTATGCTCCGCCTACGACAGTAAAGCCCATAATATTATCTGGTTTTTGTGTTCGTTCGTTAATTCATTCGTCCGTTTGTCCGTCCATTCATACTGCATTAGAATGACGTTAGTGTTGAATCTAGTCTAAGATGACGTTGTAGTCAGATCAACTTGAAACTAGGTACACATATTCATTAAAATATGTACTTTTTAAATTATTTACGGTTCACTGAATGTTGAAAACGATTGTGCGAGCAAATCATCATAAACAAACACTCTTGTTTTTTTTTTATTATTCAAATTCTAAAAACTCTTTGGCTTTTTATTCTGATTTCTAAACCGCAAAGTACTATTGTATAGCCATTATGTGCTTGAGGGATATACGCTCCGTTTTTAATATTTTGTTTACAATAATTGATTTATCTTTGCGATCTCGGTTAAGAGTTTGGAAAACAGAGAAAACGTAAAGAAGACGTCAAAATATGGATTACTTTTTTTCCTAACTAGTCCCTTTCCCGATAGAATAAACTCCGGAGAGGGGCGCACCTTTATTTATATAAATACATATATGATAACATATAGTATGTGTTCGAATGTAGGGGAATAAAAATAGTTCGTTAACAAAGAATGTTCCTTAGCTTTTTGTGTGTTTTTCGCTGTGCATTTACTGATTTTATGTCATGGAGGGATACCCCATATCCTTTGTTTTTCTATTGTATTAAATTGTTTTGACTTTTACGATTTTCTGGCACGTTATATTTTACTCATTGATATTGATGCAGACATTTAGCAACCAAACTAGTTAGTGCATTCAGCTACAGACGTCATTCGTATTGTAGTGTCCCTTCTCCCTTAATTTGATGAACATTTCTGGTCATTTAAACGCTAAAAACAATATGTATACCGTACTGGTAGATAGATTTTCTTTTTAACAGGACGTTGTTTCATAATGTGGTTTTGCGGTTTTCTCATATACCACATAATGATTCTTAGACAAGTTGTTTCTCATTGTGTTCTTGAGTTGTCGCTAGAATTGGTCGCTAGCTTGATTGGTCGCTAGAATTGGTCGCTAGCTTGAGTCTGGTCTTTATTTGATCACAAATTGTTTTTACAATATAAATTAAATGTAATATACACCCACAGTTACCTAGACTGTACCAATAAACTCATCATAGATATCAGGACTAAAAATAAATTGAAGGTCAGACGCGTGTTTTGCCTACAAAGGACTCATCAGTGACGCTTGAATAAAAAAAAGTTAAAAAGGCCAAATAAGTCAAAGTTGAAAAGTATTGAGGATCGGCCTAAAATTTCGAAAGATTTTGCCAAATTCATCTAAGGTAACGATTCCTGGGGTAGAAAATCCGTAGTATTTCGAACAATTGAAAGTTTTGTAAACAGTAAATTTAAAATTATGACTATACCAATGATAATTCATGTCAACACAGAAGTGCTCTTCATCTTCATATATTAAGCATGTGCAGTCGAGTTTACCCACTAAATGTGGGGTGTTTTGGTGGAATGTGTACAAAAGGTTGATCAATTAAAAAATTGTAAAAATAAAACTATATATTTCTCAAAATTGTGAAACAAATATGTAAAAAAGGAGTCACTTAGCTTGAAAAAAAAAATGTTGCTTTCCGTCCTGCCTTTTTTTCATGGACATCACAAAATACACAGTATAACACAATCTCCGAAATCAAAATAAGGACTCAAGAAAAAAATTATGAACTGTACAAAGTTTCTAAGAAACTTTATCGCGACTAAAATTCATATGGTTACGACCGATGAACGCCAACAGTTTATAAAGGGAGCCGGAAGTTACCAAAGAATATTCAAACTCACAAGTCAAAGACAAACTGACAACGCGACAAGGCAAAAAACGAAAAGCAACGAATGGACAAACAGTCTACAAAATACAACATAAAAAACGTAAAAGTGAGTTTCTAAAATATATCAATGAGGATCGTTATATTACAGGGTTGTTTCTATGGTTTGCTTCTAGCAAATTGTGTTGGACTTGCTCGTCTTATATTAATGTTTGTATATCCCGAGCCTGCTTGTGGAGAATATGATGGAAGACCAGCTGTACTCTCCAAAGTGCATTTTTTGTACTTTGGTGTTATTATCAATATTTTTACTATTTTATCAATTATCAGCATTAGTTTCATGACCAAACGTAACAGACGAACAGACAAAGAGGTATGGTATATTAACCAAAAGAAAACACTTATGCAAGTCTTTTGTTTTTTAAATATAGAAAACATATTATATTCAATGTTGATTTTTTGTTGTTTTGAATTCAAGTAGATGTGGGGTAGAAGATAGCGTGACAAAATACAGCTACTCAGAATACCCAAAAGAAATCTTGAGGTCAAAACAGGGTTTCAACAATATAAAGTCAGGCTTTGAATCGTAAAGTTTCTTACCAAAACTGTATATTTTTTAGAGACGTGTGAATACACAGAGAAAGTCATGAAAATTTTTTCAGACATTGTTAAAAAAATCGTCTTGACTTGATAAACTAAGCCATGAACTGTAATTATTGACAGTAAAGAAGTGAATTGGCCATACTAGGGGGAAAGATAATACACATCGGCGTACCAACCATTTAGCGGTATACTTTATATAAAAATCGAAAGTAAATACTATAGATATAGACTATTATATAAATTATTACATTCAGATTCAATCAGGGTGTATTATTTTACTTTAATCAATGAAAAAAGGCTTTAAATCGAATATCAAAGATGAGGTACACTTAGATTTTTAGAATGACTCTTTTATCGAATACAAACATTTTCGTTTGATAAAGCTATGCGGTAGTGTAGTATGCTATGTCTGTCATATTTGTTTTTCGTTAATTGTTTTGTTATAAATTAGGCCGTTAGTTTTCTCAATTGAATTGTTTCGTATTTTTCATGTCGGGGCCTTTAATAGCCGACTATACGGTATGGGTTATTCTCATCGTTGAATGCCGCACGGTTGCCTATAATTGCTTACATCCACTTTATTTGAGCTTTGGTGGATAGTTGGCAATTATACCTCACCTCCATATTTTTATACTAGTATTATTCAAGACTTTCAAGTAAAGTATGCTGTAATACTGTGTAGTTAATGTCCCTTCTAACTTTAGCTTTGGCACAATATATGACCACGACTTCTATGACGGTTATAAGAGTACTTGTCAGAAGAAGTAGTAGTTGAATATATACTTGAGGCAGATATCAATCTAAATTTTAAGTTTCTTGATTAATCAGAGAAACACATACATAATGGACACATAAATTGGTTCATCATGATTAGCAGATTGCAGTTACCTTAACCTTAATTCTTTTTAACGTTCTCCAATTCGTGAACTTAGTATTTCAGTTAAGTACAAACATCAAACAATGACAGCGTTTGTCTGCCGATACGAACATAAAATGTGGCAAATGATGATGATGAGGAGGAGGAGGAGGACGAGGAGGATCGTAACATTTTTATCTCAGTTTTGACGTTTTAGATCCAAAGATATAGGCTTAAAAAGGAATTTAGATAAAGTAGAAAATACGATGAATTGAAAATGAAGATTATAACAAAATGTTGACTGCTGCACCCCTATTTTTAACATTTTTTCCTATTATGTCTGTTTGTTTTGTTCACACATTGTTGTCAATATAATGGAATTATAAGCAACTGGCATACAAGTGAGAGGTTTAGCTAGCTATAAGACCAGCTTTAATCCACCATTTTCTACAAATAAAATTGAGAATGGAAATGGGGAATGTGTCAAAGAGACAACAACCCGACCATAAAGGAGACAACAGCCGAAGGCCACCAATGGGTCTTCAATGCAGCGAGAAACTCCCGCACCCGGAGGCGTCCTTCAGCTGGCCCCTAAACAAATATGTATACTAGTTCAGTGATAATGGACGTCATACTAAACTCCAAATTATACACAGGAAACTAAAATGCCTGTACCAAGTCAGGAATATGACAGTTGTTTTCCATTCGTTTGATTTGTTTTAGCTTTTGATTTTGCCATTTGATGAGAGACTTTCCGTTTTGAATTTTCCTTGGAGTTCGGTATTTTTGTTGATTTACTTTTTGGATAAACCTATAGTGCAATATCAATAAAAAAAGGTTACGGTGTCTGACAAAACCTCATAACCCGCTGAACTTTACATTAAAGATTCCTCTCTAAAAAGGTCAGAACGTAAATTTCCAAAAGCATTTAGAAGAAGTTTAACATTCTTATTTATTTTTATTTTTTTTTAAATATATTATTAAGGTGGTACCTAACACTACAGGGAGATAACTCTGTAAAAATCAGCTAAACGTTTTAATCACGTTGTTTTGTTAAGGAAATATTACGCTTCTCAATGATCAAAATTAGTGTTTGTCAAACTGCTATATAACCAACGAAATTTTTCTGATAAAGTGGTTGGTTCAAATTCTTTGAAATTTTTATATTTTTGTCAAAGGGTCAAAGTAAACATTATGTCAAAATTTTATGAAAATTAAACGAGCCAAATTAATTTTAGTCAAGGTGTTGGGTACCACCTTAAATCCTCAGAAAATATGTTTATTAATACAGCTGAAGGGCTGCACTTGGTGGACAAGACTTAAACCAAACCGGTACGATATCACGTGTTCAGATCAAACAGATACGACGGTATTTTCTACTCAAATGGATATACAGAATACAGATGGCGAAAATATATCGACATTTACAGATCATATTGATGCTTCGATGCCAAAAGGTTTGTATAATATTATGTCTTGACTCCTCAAACACTAATATTATTGCAAAAAGGAAAACATCTATATAGGCATCTTTTTCTTCTAGAACAATGTTCAAAATTGCCGTCATCGAAAAAGATAACAAGCAAGGTCAGTTAATTTTTGTGTTTCAATCTTCAACAAAAACAACCAACAGAAATAATAAATGCATCTTTAAACTAATGTTTATATCTAAAAAGTAAAATAACAAAAATACCGAACTCCAAGGAAAATTCAAATCTAAATATGACAAAACACGACAAATGTTGCAATTTTGATCGTTTCTTTTGTAGAAAAAAAATAACCTTAGTCTCTGTATTTATGGATTATGAGTATGATGGTGACGATAATGATGATTAACCTATAATTTACAATTATTATCATTAGTATCAATATTATTATTAATAATATTTCTTTTATTCAGAAGTAAGCGAAGAAGTCAGCCTCCCAGTTCTTCGACGGATAACAAATTTCCTGTTTGGAAAAACTACTTCTAGTAAATCTTCAGAATTCGGAATGAAGGAGAGAAGAGAATTTCTCAATGAAAACAATAATATAAAAAATATGTTAAATGTGCTAGTGGTGCTACTGTTTTGTATTATAGCGCTATTAATTGGAATTTATCATTAACATTTCCATACTAGATTATTCAATTGAGACGCGTATCACCTTTTCCTCAATTAATAAGTTATATTATAACGTAATATATATTATAAAAATGAATCATAGAATCAAATTTCCGAGTTGCATAGATTGTGCCATAAACAAAGGAGCATCGTCTATACTGAACATTCGAAATATTTACGGAAATATAAAGCGCAAAAATGGGGAAATTTTTTAAACAACTCCATAGATAAAGGTACCCAATCTAAATAGGTTTGTATACTTTATGTGAAGTTCTAGAGACTTGGGTTGAAAACAAAATTTGGTACGATCTCTATTTATTAAGATCGTCCAAGGGAAGGTCGTTCTTCCTGGTTAGACACATATTTGTTTTGGATTTGATTCACACAACATCATACATTCTTAAATTGTTCATATGTATATACAAAAAAATTATTTTCTTTGTAACATTATTTATGAGAATAAAGGATCCATTCATTCATCGTTTGAAACTACTCCTGCAAAATGACTATGTTTGCAAGTCATAATATGGGGGAAACTCCTCAAACAATTCAATAATAACAGGTGCACAATTATGCATCAATATGTCTGCAATCTATATACCGGTATCTGACTAGGAAGTTTTAATGATATATTTTGAAAATGTAGGAGGAGTGGATTACAATCAATCGGTACTGTCTTTTGCAGTTTGGTTTTCATAGTGATTTAGATTATAACACAATGTTGACTGCTGTACCCCTATTTTTGACATACTTACTTTTTGTGTCTTGTTGTTTTGTTCACACATTGTTGTCAATATAATGGAATTGTATGCGACTGTCATACAAGTGAGAGGTTTAGCTAGCTATAAGACCAGGTTTAATCCACCATTTTCTGCAAATACCTGTACCAAGTCAGAAATATGACAGTTGTTTTCCATTCGTATGATTTGTTTAAGTTTTTGATTTTGCAATTTGATAAGGGACTTTCCGATTTGAATTTTCCTTGGAGTTCGGTATTTTTGTTATTTTACTTTTTGCAAATTTTGTTGAAAAATTACTCAAGTTCCAAATTCTGGAACAATGACTTAAATTTCTTTTATCAATTCCATAGCAGCAGGTCTTTTGTAAATTTTGCTGATAAAAAGTCTTGAATAAGAAGAAACCCATCTTAAAACAATTCCATAACAGTAGGTACACAACTCTGCATATGTGGAAAATGTCTGTGCGTTTTAAGGGATCTGGATTGACAACTGCAGGATGAGATGATTACACATAACCCGTACCATATTCTGTTTCTTTTTTAATGAGGGTAAGCAAATCCTATTCCACATGTTAATCTTCAGTTTGCAAAGCCGTTTCGCCAAAATGTTATTTAAAGACTAAACATTCTTACACGGGAGACGGTATAATAAAACAACTTTTTGGACCCTTGATCTGGAAAATCATATATGAATATTGATATTTTTTTTAATTTTGTCTTACGTATTTCTTTTAACACACGTTTAAGTCTTCAATTTCCCTCCATTTCGTGCAAATCCGACTCCATATGCTTATTTTGAGATCTTGTTGTTGATATTTAGATATGTGTCTAAGCTTAACCCTCAACATATTTTGCCACAAGATGTTTCAAACAAAGTTGTCAACATATGTAAAATATAGTTTGGGATAAGGCGGTGGTTTATAACTAATTTTACCAAAATCTATATGCTAAAATTGCTGCTTCATTTCAACGTTGTATGACGTAATAATTACACAATAACTGACTTCTGAACTGAAGTGACCAGAGTATATCAACCTATTCAGTTATCAGTGGATAATTTGACAGTTTGAAAATTTCCAACTAGTGAATTTCATAACATAATAAATAAGAGTCATGACCCTTTACAAATACTTATGGCAATGTGATCATATGTTGTGCTATTTTACCATTGTCAATGATAAAGGGGAGGGTTGTACGCAATTTAACAAGGTAACTCGCAACATTCTTTCTATGAGTATCATAAGCAAGAAACTTATAATCTAGTGGTTGGTCAAGTCATAGGAGAGGGTAGGTTATTTCATAATGTCTTCATTACAAAATAAACAACGAAGTTGAGGAGTGCAATGCAAGGGTACTAAATGGGTTCCTTGAATTTCTATCGTCGGCAAGAGGTTCTATAAAACTGAACAAATGTACAACTATCCTGATAATGAGCTATTTTTGATAACTATTTACACCACTGGGTCGATGCAACTGCTGGTGGACGTTTCCCGAGGGTAGTAGTCAGCAAAACTTTGAACTTTTCGAAAAACTAAGGATTTTCTTATTCCAGGCAAAGATTGCCTTAGCCGTATTTGGAACAACTTTTTGGAATTTTGGGTCCTCAATGCTCTACAACTTTGTACTTGTTTGGCTTTTTAACTATTTGATCTGAGCGTCAATGATGAGTCTTATGTAGACGAAACGCGCGTCTGGCGTATAAAATTAAAATCCTGGTACCTTTGATAACTATTAATCATTCGCTAGTAACTTAAAAATTAAAATGCAACAGTAATAAATAAAACTTTTTTAATTTCTTTAAAGCATTTATGTGTGTGAAAATATCAATTACCAGTCTGATTTACATCTTATAATAAATAGCAATATTTACATAAAATACTGATACAAAACAAAAATAAAAAAATAAGATAAGCAATCATAATTCAGGTATTCAGTATTGTTCATCCGTTTATTAAATATAATGTGAACAAAGAACAGTTAGGGAAAGAACATATCTAAGTCAATAATTGTAATATTATTTTATCTTAATACTTTTAAATACTTGAGTAGCTATTCAGCAAACCAGACTATGACCGATTTTTTAGTCATGACAAACAATTTTAAAACAAGAGATAAGGAATAAGTTATACATGTTATTGTACTTTTTGCAAAACAAGTTTGGACGTAATTTTTTTTATAGTATAATGAATACCTGAGGCGACCACATTAAATGTCGAAAAGAATCCAGAATCCATAAACCAAGAGAATACTTAGTACTAAATTCTATATTTACTTGAAATGTTTGTTGTTCATACTCGATTAAATTATTTTCAAAAAGTGATACGTAAGCTCGTCTATTAAAAACAAGGTTACTTTACTCATTCGTATATATTATTATTCTTGTTACCTTAAAACATTATCCTAAATCAGAATATTCATTAACATCTTCCCAGTCAAAAAAAATTAACAAAAATATGGAACTCCAAGAGAAATTCAAAAAGGGAAGTCCGTAAAAACTGACAAAATCAAACGCTAGACTATAAACCAACGGAACGAATAAAAAACTGTCATATTCCTGACTTAGTATAGGCATTTGCAGAATAAATGGTGGGTTAAACCTGGGTTTATAGCTAGCTTAACCCTCAACTTGTATGACAGTTGTTTATAGTTTTGTTATATTGACAAAATTGGATGAGCAACCCAAATAGACAATTTGTTAATGTGGCAATAATTGAAATAAAACAGTATCACATCTTCATAAAAATTATTCAAGATTTCATTGATACCACAACTATTGAATGAATTATTCATATTATAACATTTAAAAGCAAAATATGAGAAAAAGTGCACACAGTTTCATAGATAATTCCATTGTACACTAAACAATAATACCCTCAGTATCTCGATTCAAACACAATTAAAACATTAACGTTTTCAAGTGATATGTGCCAGCATGGAACATATAAAAATATCACATTCTTTTATGATAACATATTTATACATAATGAAAACAAGCACTCAAACAAATATGTAAAAATATTAACATGAGTAAAAATGGAATGTAAAAATAAATAGATAACAAATAGTGAAAGGTATTATTATCGGTTGCCTTTACTTCTTCCTCGACTTTTCCTGTGAGAACCTGTAAAATATCACGTGGTTATCATTCTGTAACTTAATTTATTTGTAGATGAAAAACTAAAGAAGATTTACAAAAAAATTTTGAACTGGATTGAACCAATTTTCTAAAATCTGCATTTTAAAGTGTTTTTGTCGTTAAATGAATTCATATACCCGATGACGATTTTAAGGTATTAAGTAAAAAAAAAATCTCATAAAGTGTTTTTGGTCAAAATAATTGATCTATTATAAGCACTTGAAAATGCTATAGTCTAAGTATATCAACAATGTATTGGAAAGAAGACTTCCAATATTACTAACAAACATATGGACAGTGGTCAGTAGCAATACAAACAGGGGATATTACAAATGCTACTCTTTCATAAGCACCAGTGTATGCGTCATTTTTGTTTCCTTCACAGTGTTTTTTCAGATTATGTTTCATAGATATAGATATAAGAAGATGTGTATTTGTATTTCTTAATTCGTCTTAATAATTTTAGTTCTGGTTTTACTGTACGTCTGCGATTTATAATGTGTGATAACCTGTGCATCGTGTATGATTACCACACCAGAGCAACGACATTCTACTTATTTGAGTAAGCTTTTTTTTTGTAAATTACTTTGAAGGGAAGACTCTAACGCTAGTAATAGAGAACTAATCAACTTATTTGTTAAAAATTCATCAATTCTTTTATGTTTTCACAATGTTTACCTGGAGAAAATAATTAATCTTCAATCGTTATAACAATTGTGCAATAATTTTACACACCTGGACACTGGCAACATTTCTCTACATTTTTGTTTTTAGTTCTTCTACAATCGTCAGGTGTACATTTCTTCCGCTTGCATTTTACTTTCCCATTCTGAAAATCAACAAAACAAAAGTGTTTTCCTTCATTCTGAAATAAACATTCTTATTATTTTGTCTCATGCTTATATAATGTGTAAAACATTTTATTCAAATGCATTTGACAAAGTAATAGTGCACTGCTAGCAGATAATGAAATGTGAGTGACATTATTTGTCATATTCCTGACTTGGTACAGGCATTTCCTTATGTATAAAATGGTCGATTAAACCTGGTTTTATAGCTAGCTAAACCTCTCACTTGTATGACAGTCGCATAAAATTCCATTATATTGACAACAATGTGTGAACAAAACAAACAGACATAATAGGAAATGTATACTATTACCTTACACCTGCATTTCACACACGCTACTTCTTCATTATCAGACAATTTAGGGTGCCATTTCGCTCTATGCGGAAAAACTTCATCTCCAAATTTACAAGCTATAATACAAAGTAGATATGATAAAAGCAATCGTCTACACAAAGACTTATATTAAGCAATGCTTTTCTATTTCGCATGTTATTGCAATTCAATCGTATGTTTGTTTGAATTATTTGAGTATGTTGTGTTGCATGTCTGCGACGTATGTTTACACAATATTGGCTGATTGGTCCCAATTATTGTCACGTTCAGCCTTCGGGTCAGGTGAGCTAATGGTAAAATAATTATTTCACCATTCGTCTTTTTTTTTTAAAAATATCTTCATCCATGGATTATATATACGTACATTTTTCTTTTGATGCAACGGCGTGGTCAGCTTGGCTTTCACCATTTGGTATGACAAGTGTTTTGTCTGAAATAGAATAATGAAGGTATTCAAATGATTCATGAACAAACTATACTTCTTTGTAAAAGACTTACAATGTACAGAAATACCAAACAAATACTTGTCACACTCATAACGTTTACTTAGTATTTACAAAATGTTTGATAGATTGTGCGCTTTAGTTTTAGCATTGTATGTTTAAGAATTTGAAGAAAAAAACTCAATTACTTTACTAAGTCTTAGCGCTTTTGTATTTCACAATCACAACGACATTTTGAATTAAGTTGTTTCAGGTGAGAATATGAATATGAATAGTAAAAGGAGCATTTAACATATTCTCTGGCCTAAAAAAAATTAAAGACCTTATAAAGCTTCAGAAACACCATTCATACTGCTATATAAAATTTATACCTGGACAAACCTGACAACAATCATTTGCTTTGATACGAACTGCCTCAGATTTAGAACAATTCAATACCGGACACGGAGATCTTTTACAGTCATAACTGCCATCTGTCTGAGTAAAAAAAGAAATCGTTTTCAATCATCTGATTAATTGTGATACGAAAGACTGTTAATGTTGGCGGTTTTCGTGTTGCTCAGTCTTTTATTTTCTCTGTTGTGTTTTGCATATTGTTTTTGTGTTTGATCATCTTTCGTTTTTTCCCATTGCGTTGTCAGTTTGTTATCGACTTATGAGTTTAAAATGTCCCTTTATTATCTTTCGCCTCTCTTTTACTCTGTTACTCGGTGTCTCATGTATGCAAACGGCATTGATAATAAATAATGCATCCGTTTTTCCGATGTATTTGTACCTTTTGCCTGGTTTTGATAATTATATGTATTGGCTTTATATAAAGCAAGGTTATGCTGAACATACTCATAGTGCTGTGTTTTGTCGTTTATATATTTATTTATTTATGTGTTTATGTATAACCACTTTTGAAAAGAAGCCATGACTGTTGTTAACACCATGATAGATTTGCACTTTAAAAAACGACAGAAAAACGGCAGAGCTTTGCCACAAAGAATTACTGTGTTTCTCGAATTGCTACTTTGAGAGGATGTTCCGACTTTTGTTCTTGAAAAACAATGTTGAATATATTTGAAATGTATCAGAACTGCATCAGGGACCATTTAATAAACTAATTTAGTGCTTGTGTGTTCAAACTCATAAATATCTTACCATGCAGCTACAAACCGCACATGTGACATAGCCAAATGGTGGCACATAGGGATGCCACTTGGTTCCAGCGGCATGCCATCGTTTATCACCGTCATAATAACAGGAGCCTTCAGAGTGTGTATTGTTCTGTGAGGTAAATGGTATACGCGTTATGTCTGGTTTGTCTGTAATAATAATTTTACGCCATTCATGTATTGTCAGTTGCTCATATCATTAATGCTTGCAAACCGACCTCATATCAATTTACATAATATTATAAATAACAAACAAACGTTTTTAGAAAAAGCATATTCTTTTCTTAAAACTGAGTTAACAATCCATTCTAAACATAACAGGATGATATGATTCATACCCATTTAAAACCAACAAGATTATTTTATGAGAAGCTGCCATACACAAACTGTTTGACAACTTGTTAAAAGTCATAAATAGATTATGTGCTCTTTTGAACATTTGTAAATTATTTCCCTTTTTACAATTCTTTACAAAATTGTTTAAGACTGATTGCAAAATAAACATGTTTATATGGTATTATCAATGTATTGTTTGAGTTCGGAGTTATTTGAAAACACATACTAATTTAGTCAGCAGCTCTGTGTTGACACAAAAAAAATAACTTTTGATTCGAGGGTCCCTGTAGACGAAACGATCGTACCACATGAGCTGGTATTTTTAAAGCGTTTTCGTCCCATTTTCGTAATATTTTCAAACTACAACAATTTAACATTTATTTTTTTTAGAAAATGCATCAAAAAACAAGTTGAATGAATCAAGAATAAATACGTTAATTCGAATACGTTCGTATTTTATCTTTTGCTTTATTTTTGCGTATTAACGATATCGTATCTTAGTTTATGAAAAATAAATATAATCAATCAATAATAAAAATTAAAACAAACCTGCGCATTTTGGACAACAAAGTCCTGGAACTTTGACTTGATATTCACATTTGAGGTCAGGACAGACAACAACATCACACAGTATTTTCTGTTGCTATAAAAGAAAAAAGAAAAAAAAAATACAAAAATATATGAATACATACGTTAGTTTGTTAATGAAACGTCAATATACATAAACAATATCTGTAATTATATTGGCTATGCAAAAGTAAAAAACACTTTCAGTCAACTCTTGTATATCGCAAAACAAAACTGGTATGAGTGAAGGATGTTCGCTACTCTGTTTCAAAATAACAAGCTTTTTAAAAGACTGATATAAATTGATAGTATATAAATAAAGAAACTAAAAAAGCAGAAAAAAATGAAAGGTCCGTGTGCTTGTTTTCGAGATATAAGCCATTGAAAATTTGGCGGGAAATAATTCTCTCTATAGATTTTTCATACATTTAACATTGGCACCTTTTTTCTTTCAAAAACGATGAAAAAAGAACAAGGATTTCATAAGATTTTCAAAGATGACATTTAAACTATATGTAATCAAATTATGGAAAGAAAAGTAGGGGTTAATGAGCAAAATTTTTTAATGGCACTATATGGATAAAACCAGAGGATTCCGAACATCTGACAAAAATTCAAAAACCCAAAGGAGCGAACATCCTCAAGGCGACATTAGTTTACCGATGTTCAAATCTCGTAAGTCGATTAGGAAGAGACAAATCAAGGTAACAAACAGAGACTGACTCAGGGAATCCTATGACTGGTTGACAAAAGGATAATAAGATCACTTAGAAGATGGTGTAATATAGGCAAACCAAACTTGTAGTTGAGTCAAAAGCTCACATAGAAATGGAAATCGAAGTTTAAAATTGAGCCATAGTCTTAACATGCACGGCAATGAAAAAGCCATACTTTAAAACTGATATGACAAAGACGAAACAATATTTTTGTTTAAAATCTTTTTCGAGAAGAAGAAGAAAAATAATTGTAGACACAAGTGTTTTCACCCTCAGCTTTATGTGTTTCAAAACCTTTACTGCAATGAGAAGGGTAGAATTTTCATTGACTAGATTTACATAAGTATCAGACGAGTCCAATACAATACCCCATAACTTATCTTAAATATAAGGAATGTACTTTTACACATTTTTTCAGGTAAATAGAAACTGATTTAAAAATTTCAATTTGAATAATTTGTTAATAGAAACAAATAATAGTGATTTTTATTAATGTCTTTTTCAATAGAAAAAGGATGAATATTGCGCATCAGTGCATGAAAAAATCGCTTCGCGTTTCTTACAAACCAAAACCAAAGACAAAAAGCGCGGTTTTTGCTTGGAAGATGTTTTTTTTTAGATTGACATACAAACCGAAAGACAGATGAACCAAAAAAGATTATAAAAAAAACAAATGAAAATATTTAATTGGCAATTGACCCAGCTTTATACTTGGTGTATTTAAGTACATTCATATTTTTGATATTTGATGAAACCAACCTTTGACACCATGCATTAAATACTACTTACTTGTTTAATAGTTTTGTTTTAGTTGCACTAAATTCTTCATAAAAACAAAGTGTATACGGAGTGCTTTTAATCGGATAAGTTCATTTAAATTGTCAGTTCTACATTAACTGAGCATTAACAGTGCAATCATCTATAAATGTATTTTTTTCTGTAACAGTTGAATTTTAACTTTCATGTCTTCCTTTTGAAACACTTTATCATTATAAATAAAAGTAAGAATAATTCAGGGGGTATTCGAATAATAAGAGGTTGATGTTAAATTTCAAGTTTCAATCTTGTAATTGTATTTCATGTTCTGCAACAAAACCAATTTTAATATCCATCGCTTAAGTCAGGTAGTGATCAGCTGTGTGTTAAATATCGGAAACGTACTCAAGCTAAATAGTCTTTAGACATGAAGCAAACAGACAAGAGAATGCCATCACAACTATTTTAAGCAGAAACACTTACCTGACACGTGCATGTGTAGCATGAATCGTTTCCAACAGGAATCCATGTTGATCCGTCATCGTAAATTCGACCTTCATAATTACAGGACGTGATAGGATTTCTATCCCGCACTTTGTAGCCCTCATCTAAAAGCATGTTATAATTATTTCCATTCGTTTTTTGCCAGCAATCATTTACAATGCTCAACTGAAAAAAAATAGAAAATATATTATCATCATCATCGATTACAAACAAAATCAAAAATATAATATGATTCAAAATTTTTGTGTATTGAACACTTGTTGTTTTGTAAATAACTGATCGCCACAAGATAAAAGAAGAATGTTTCAAAACACTAAAGTATCTACTTCATTTTAATATTTGGTATGGTTCCAACATTATACATGTTATATATCATATAACAATTTAATAAATCCAACTACGAGGCATTGTACAATTTCTGTTTACTTTATCAAATTAAAGAATCAAAGGATACTGTTAGATGAATTTTATGGAAGTTTGTTATGTCCAAACCTTTTAGTTTTTTTTTTTTTTTGTGTTTGGGGTTCTGATTTGTCAGTTTTGTTGTTCTATGATTAATTTTATGGATGGTTTTTAACTTTTATTTTTCGTCGATTGAACTCCGGATTTGATCGTGTTTCCACATTCAACATACTAAATTTTATATCCGATAATTAGGGCCCCGCCGAATGGCGGACGCCTTATAGTGATCAGTCTGTCCGTCTGTCCGTCTTTCCGTCCGTCTGTCCGTCCGTCCGTCCGTCCGTAACAACTTGTGTCCGCTCTATATCTAAAGAACCGTTATGATTTCAAAGTTTATACTTGACTTGTATGTTAACCAACACCAGATGGTATGTCATAATGTATGTACAACTTCCTAGGTCAAAGGTCAAGGTAAAAAACTTTGGTTTTAGTTGACAACCCCATGTCCTATGGTAAAGATCGTGTCCGCTCTATATCTTGAGTACCGTTATGATTTCAAAGTTTATACTTCACATGTATATAAACCAACACCAGAGGGTGTGTCATAATTTATGTACAACTTCCTAGGTCAAAGGTCAAGGTCAAAAACTTTGGTTTCAGTTGACAACCCCATGTCCAATGATAAAGATACAAATTTTTTACCATACATTATTGACAGCGGGGCCAACAGAGATGGCTCCCATCTCAATGATATCTAGTTATTTCAGATTGAGAATTTACCAACATAAGATGTAGTAAATGAAAATAGTCAATGAATACCTAAAAATTGTTTGAAAAAAATCGAAATTCTATCAACCCATCATTTTCCAACTAATACAATACTATTTAGTGATTACTTCATTTAAGATTACAAACGAATGTCAAGGTTTCGTAATAATCAAACATATAAAACAAATATACAGTTGAAAAGTTGGTCCTAATTGTTGAAATTAAATCCACCAATTGCCATATACAAAACGATATTTTATTCAAACTAACATCGTAGAGGAGCAAAAAATAAAAATAAATGTAACAAAATATTAGAATCTTACTAAGGGATTGAAAGACATTTACTGTCACTGTTTGAAGTATGATAGTATATCGATAAATTTTGTGGGTTTTAATTCAAAAATACGAAATATCATACGTGTATCAAATAAGTTAATGTCCTAATATTGTGAATTGACCAAAGTGGCATGAAAAACTGCAACACTGAGAGATGCAATCAGTTCAATCTCGGTTACTCCAAATGCAATTTGTGCTGAGGGAGATTGCCACATATTACACTTTTGAATGGATCACAGTGACTGCAGGCAAAAATCCTATATAAATAATGAGATGTGGTATGATTGCAAAACAGACCCAAATCCACCAGAGACATAAAGACAATGATGTAAACAACAATAGGGCACTTTACGGCCTTCAATATATCACATACCGTATGGTAAGCTATCAAAGGCCCCGGCATCCCAAAGTTAAACAATTCAAGAGATATTCAATAGCTAGATTAATGCTTATATTACTAAACAAACAAACAAATACGACAGACAGCAACCACCGACAGACATTGAATAACAGGTTCCAGACTTTAGACTGAATAATTATTAATATATATTTAACGAGATGTGGTAAGATTGCAATGAGACAACTATCAAATAGAGACCAAAGGACGAGGATGTGAGGGAGCTACCATTTGATTTTTATGGGGGGGGGGGGGGGGGGCTTCAGGAGTTTTGAGTAAAAAAAAGGCAGGATGAGCAACTTGGCAAAACAAAAGGCAGGATGACAATCTATGTAAAAAAAGTCAGGATAAACTAATAAAAAAAAAGGCAGGACCGAATAGAGTAAAAAATAAAAAGGCAGGACAGAGATTACAACTAAAAATAAATGCAGGACAAAATCTTTCATCCTAGCACCCCATGAAAATCAAATCGTAGCTCCCTAATATAGGTTTCAAAATGAACAAAAGCTATTCCGTTTAGTAAGCCATAAAAGGTCGCGGCTTGACAAAATTTGACACATTCAAAAGAAAAACCAACAGCCTTATTTATGCTTAAATTGATAAACGAAATACTGAATTGATTTAACTTAACCAAAAACATGTCAGGCCATTCATGACTAAAATTGACGTTTCAGTCTGAAATAAATGTACTGTTAGAGATTTTACGATCCATCGACATGTTTAACTTAAAATATCAGTAACATAATAATTGTATAAAAACAGAGGATCTTGATTTTTAAATTTGCACTTACATTTGAAAATATACTCCCTTTAGTCACACCTACAACGTCTATTTGCATGAAGGAAGTCCCTCTGTCAAGACTTTGAAATACTTCTCTAGAGATATCAGAAATACGCCCGCTAGCCTAAATGACAAATCATATTCAAAAATAAACTAGCACATGACAATAATGTACTGCAATTGTGAGAGATTGCCTTAAGGCAAAAAAGTTAGTCAACAAATTATATAATAATGGTTCACAGATATCATTCGACTAAGCAGCAGCTGATAAATTAGAAAGACTATATCATTAGAACTGGACGAACTTTTTTAAAAGCTTATGATTATTTTACAATTTGTTTGCTATAATTCGTGTTTTGTTCGCTTAGAAATATGAATATAAAGTTTTCCCTTCGTTAATAACTTTCCATCTTTTCATATCTAATATTTTAACCAAAACTCAACGAATTGAAAAAAAAGGATACAATGTATATGGTATAATGTGTCGGAATTAATCGGACTGCAGTGTTGGTCATAGGGCCTAGTTTCTAAATAACTATAACAAAATTACTCCAACGTAAATTCAAACAGGGGAAGTCCATAAAAACTGACAAAAACAACGTTACTATCTAAATGTAGATAAAATGAAATTAGAATGTCACGAAAATGCTTTGTCGATATCATTTCTTAAACGTGTATATGTATTTCGTAAATCTACAAATACTCACTATTCCATTTTTAAAATCAGTAATGATGATTGTGTATATTGCATTTCCACTATATGATGGAGCTGAATCATATTTCCCTGTGATTAGAGCTGTAATTGTAGTATGATCTCTTAGTCCTGACAGCAATATCTGATAATGCAGTACACATTTATCAGTAACGGATAACCATGCGTGACCAGCGACACCTGTTGACGGGGTCGATGGTAGTGCCATCAGAATAAAAGGCGCATCTAAAACGGAAACGTTATTAAAATAAATATAATTCCATAAATTATGACAAGGTGCGATGATGACCTTATTTGGCCTATTTTTATACTGAAAATAGAACAACTGATTTAAGATTTCAATATATTTCTGTTTGAAGATAAGGTTTCACAAAATTAAATGTCCAATTGTGACGTCACGGAAAAGGTCTTCTTATATGTGTAAATGTTCTTATAGTTTTCCGATTCGCATCTATAAAACATATAAAGAATCAGCTAAATAGTTTACACAATGTTTGACTATATCAACACCTAAAGCGTAAATACATTTGTGGCTCTTGGTTTCCCACTCTTAATCATTTGTGAAAATATGCAAATTTCGTCATTTTTAGTAGAAAAAAATTAATTATTCTATCCTTCGACCGTCAAATCTCCTTGAATATTCATTATTTTTCAAAGATCTTACTTTTTTTCAAACTTATACCATACTCAATTTTTGGAACTAATTTGAACCCTAAGGGCGCCTCCTCCTTTGATTGTTTTGTTATCTAAACAATCAGTTATATTAAATTAGAGGATGCTATTGTTCTAAAAGAATTCAAGGAGGGGCGTAAAGGGGGTATCTGCACGGAAGAACGTGAAATAAAATTGCCATTTCACAATTAAAAATTTCTTGCATCGTTGATCTTTTTACCGATTTCACGAAACACGGTGAATAACGAACCTTTTTCACGGCTGCACGTGAAATAAAAATAGCAAAACACGTTGCACGAAAATAACCCTTTACCACACTCTTCAAGGATACTGATTGGTGAAATTTATGGAATTTCATAAATGACTGAAGAATTAGTTTATTTGTGTTCGTCATTTTGATATTGCTATTTTGTTGGTTTTCTGCAGACGAAATCAAGTTTATGTTTATTATGTTTATTTTTGAATTCATACAATATAGAATATGTATCATTTGAACATTTATCAACAGTGCACTACTCATATTTCAAAATTATTAGGGGACTCGGTGGCCGAGTGGTCTACGTAGTTCATTTACGGCTTCACGAGCATGTCGACACTGAGGTTGTTAGTTCGAGCCCCGCACTTGGCAGATGCGTTCAACTCATATCTTAATTGACTAAGATTATCAGATTTCCTGCCGAAGGTTTTGGTTCTCTCCGGGCACTCCGGTTTCCTCCACCAATTAAAATATTTATGTACCTTACGTTTTCAGATTTATATGACTTAAAAAACACATTTTGATTGAAATTACATTCTTCCTTAATCATATTAGATAATCAATATGTATTAACATACTTCTTAATATATCTATTGTGCTATCATGCTCAGTCCGTTCTATTTTTCCACGAAGAGCACTGATTTGTCTATATGAGGTTCCCACGTTAATGTACAACTTTCCGGTCAAAAACATGGTAAGGTCTTTTGCTGTTGGTTTCTTGAAAATACCTACGGCCTTTAAAACATAAAATATGAATTAAATGTAATGTAAAAGAGATTTAATACTTATATGCCTAAATATACAATCTAGTTCTTGGCACTTTCTTCAATCATAAAGGCTAATTTAGGGTTCAAGTAATTTTTTTTGAACTGAATATCGTTTCATAATCATTTAAAATTCTTTAACTTATTAAAATTAGTGAATTCCTTCTGATGTTAACATTTGCAACTTATAGAATTCACATTTTATGCTCGGAATGATTTATTGACGGACCAGGCGAGATCCTCGTGGGTACTCAAGTTCGTTAAACACCTGTTTATTGTTGGTAATGGTTGATTACATTTGCGGATGTAACATTTTTTTTCTTTTCTTATTTTTCGTTATGTTTAATTTCATTTTGTAATAAAGCTAAGACAATGTTATAGAAAAATGAAGATAATCTAATATCATATATATTGTCATATCTATAAATCAACTGTTTACAAAGATTTTGAATTGTTCGCATCAAGGATTTTTTACCCTAGGAATAGATTATCTTAGCTGTATTTGGCAAAACCTTTCTAAATGTTTGGCCCACAATGTTCTTCAACTTCGTCCTTTATTTGGTCTTTTAACTTTTTTTATTTTAGCTTCACTGACTAGTCTTTTTTAGACGAAGCATGCGTCTGACGTACAAAATTATAATCCTTGTATCTCAATTTGGCTAGCCACAAAACCAGGTTCAACCCACCATTTTTTTCTTAAAATGTCCTGTACCAAGTCAGTAAAATGTCAGTTGTTATCTTATAGTTCGTTTCTGTGTGTGTTGCATTGTCGTTTGATTTTTGTTCACTTCAGTGTTTCTGTTGTTTCGTTGTTTTCCTCTTATAGTTGATGTGTTTCCTTCGGTTTTAGTTTGTAACCTGGATTTGTTTTTGTCTCAATCGATTTATGACTTTCGAACAGCGGTATACTACTGTTGCCTTTATTTAATGAGTTTATGACAACATGATATGTTTGAAAATAACTTACAAAACCGTTATCAGAGGATGTGTTATATCTAAACGTCTTTGTCAGATCTTGTATAACCCTTCTCCTCCGCCGTCGTGTTGGTGTTGATTCTAATGTTAACGATACTAAATTCTGTTTCATACTATACAGCCGTATCTTAAAAAAACAAAACAGGGTTATATAAAAAGTAACTTTGTAAATACATTTTTTGTTTCTATTAATCATTACGTACATTGAACAAACAGCTCATTTATCATCAGTGAAAATCAATACAGTTACTTTTTTCCAGTTTATTAGAAAAATCGTGGTCAACCCATAGCATCCTATTCAGTAACTCGTACAGAACATGTTAGAATTACACCAAATTTTCACACTATGGTTTATTACTACCCCTGTTTATTTGTAGTTAATAGTTGTATCATTTCTAGGTAAAAAAGTCAAAAGTTGTTTTTTCATGTAAATAATATTACACCTCGATGAACAATTTACAATATTGATATTCGAAATAAATTTTGTGTGATCATGTAACATCCATCCAACTTGTTCGTTAATTAAGCATACTCTCACTCTCTTGTTGTCTCGCCTTCGTAATAAATTGCGCGACGGTTATACATAGAAATCTAACATTCCGTCGTCATTGTATAGTCAACATTTAGGTTCAGTCTGTTGTTAAAGTTTATCATACAGCAATAACTTTGTCAACCCTCCAATGAATTGTTACGAACTGGGACAGTAGCTTCTTTGTGGTCATCATCTAATACAATAACAAGCTTTTGATTCACCTTTTTTTTTTTATTAATACGTATTTTATTGATAAATGGACTTCTTTGGCAGTTAACATTTAGATACAGTCTTGGGTTAAAGTTCTTTCGACATCAATAACTTTGTCAAACTTTGATCGAATTTTATGAAACTTGGTTAAATTTCAATTCAAGTCAAGAGTCTTCAAAAAAAGACAGTAACCAGGGCAAACATTTTTTAATTTTGTTTTTGAATTTTCCTTGGAGTTCTTTTTCTTTTTTTTTATTTTACTTTTTACTCAGTACTCGGATTTCAAATTTCGTGCTCGAAATAACAAATCCAGCATTCTGATTGGTTGAATTCTAAGTCTGTGTACGACAATCAGGTCTCGCTCCTTTTGGAACTCATACGATGCCCCATGTTTTTGTTTGCTACGTTTATTTGTCTTCTTACTCGATTTATGAGATTTGAACTGCAGAAAACTACTGTTTCATTAGATTAAAAAGTTTTACGACTACTTTGTTGTATACGATTTTTAAAGGTCTGACTTGGACAATCGAAATGATGCCCTTGTTCTGGATTTCTAACAACCACATTTTTTTCCCCACTGGTATATATCATTATACACGTAATGAAATCAAATAAATGGAAATAATTTTTTACTTACCATGTATGCTATTTGACCATTATCATGAAGCTGGAAGACAGCTGATCCAACACTGGTTAGAGGATGAGCTGAGTCAGTTAATGCTTCACTGCTTGACAAAACAGCCTGAAAAACTATTTTAATTAAAATTAATGACAATTTCTGTGCCTAAAATATTCAAAGAATTATCAGACATGTATCTGGTCTATATACCAGCTTTTATAAGTGTTTGGTATTGCTATAAATTTTCACTTCGTACTATGAACATCAAAATTATTTATTTTGTAAAAATATTTCCTTTCTCTATTGGAACTGTATACGTATACCTAACAACAAAATTATTTTCATTTACTTGTGTTTAAAGTTATTGCAAACGGCTGATATTTTTTTTCGAGCAGATTGTTTTTTTTTAATTGTTTAACATTTCATACCGATATAACATGTTACTTTTATTATTCTTCCCTTAGTTTATTTATTTTGTATTTACATTGTATCATAGGTCAAATTTATTTGTTCAATGTATGTTCAATGGTGTTAATATGTCCTTTGATTGAGTTAAGCTTTTTCAGTTGATATTTTATAGTGTGTCTTTCTATGTTGTGATGTTACACTATTGTTTCAGAAAAAGGGTGAAGGTTTGGTACCATTAAAACGTTTAAACCCGCTGCATTTGTTTGCACCTGTCCTAAGTCAGGAATCTGATGTTCAGTAGTTGTCGTTTGTTGATGTGGTTCATAAGTGTTTCTCGTTTCTCGTTTTTTATATAGATTAGACCGTTGGTTTTCCCGTTTGAATGGTTTTACACTAGTAATTTTGGGGGCCCTTTATAGCTTACTGTTCGGTGTGAGCCAAGGCTCCGTGTTGAAGACTGTACTGTGACCTATAATGGTTTACTTTTATAAATTTTGACTTGGATGGAGAGTTGTCTCATTAGCAAGTGTTTTTTTTGTTTTTGTTAATGTTACCCTGACCAAATCCTTTTTTTTCTAACTGATCACACCTACTATGATCAATAAATTTGTTCACATTTTTGAGATAATTGCAGACAGCCTGAGATAGATTGCAAAGACATAAAATATTACTTAATAGAAATTTTCCAGGAAACAGTTCAAAGCCATTTTGCAAAGTGCAGAACGAGAATAACAGTTCATAAATTCCATGCGTCCATTCAAAGTCTTAATTTTTTCAACAACAAAATACAAAGACTTCAATGAGGCAACGAACTACAAACCAAAAGAGGAAGAGAGACAGATGAAAAGCGACATTCCCCAAACCTCTACTCAGTAGAAAGATTGATTGAGCAACATGAACCCTTCGAAAACCTGTGATTAACTCAAATTATTCGGGTGGGAGGGTAAAAGTTTATTAGCATCACCGTCGTATGATCAAGAGATGTAAAATTCCAATGCTCAAGTCGCATAAGATGAAAAGAAGACTAGTTTTTTGTCTACGACGAAAAGAAAACACTAGTCATCGTAAGAGACAGATATCTCATAACAGTCAAACAAATCAGGATGGCTTTCGCAAAAAACGTTCGTAGAGATGACTTCAAATTATCATTAAAAACTTTTCGTTCAATTGCCTCTTTGTGAGCAGTTAGTTACCCTCTATCATAGATGTCATAATAGAACTGTATGTCATGGAATATGGTATCAAATGGAAGTATATACTCCATATGCAGCTGTATACAAGTGAAAAGTTCATAATAAGAAAACTGAAGTCATTATCATTGGTTAAGGGTCGATTCATAGCTTGACATATGATATAGACTCTTGTCTACACTTAAGGACCGTTAGTTGTTGTATGAACATAAATTCTGCATCTACTGTTTTGTTTTGTTTCTGTCTCGTTGACGTGGTGTTCTCAGTCTTGATTTGATATGGGTTTTTTTTATCTTACCCATGGTATTTTATTTCTAGAGGGGAAAAAAGTGAGGGATTGGATGAAGGGGATATCAAAAATTTGTGGATTATAGGATGTAAACAAAAGTGCGATCGGATAAAAGTAAGAAAAAGTGGGAAGTGGGAAAAAAATGCAAAAAAGTGGGATTTGGGAAATGAGCACCCCCGTGTCACCCCCTTAAATATATAAATGCAAAATCATCACATACTTTGACATGTGAGTACTGGTGTAATGTCACCGATCATTGTTGTTCCTCCTTTAGATGTTAACCTTAAGCGAAGTTTTCGTCTAGTCATTAATCTTCTTTCTCTTTTATTTGGTCGTTTCCAAGATCCGTTCAAATTTGCTTTCTAAAACGAAGAGGTCATAAATAAGATAAAAAATATTTCTATCGTCTATCAGTTAGCAACTCACTTCTTCCGAGTTCTTCTGAAACGATTTGTGTGAGTTCGTGTGTATGCCCTTCCGGTGTGGTGTTTCAAAAATACTTTACAAAAAATTTGTCAATTTTTCATTTTGGGATGCATAGGATGTCTATCTTTCATCGACTTATTTTCTTTGTTGCTTCCATGGATTCTTTGTATTGTACTGTATTTGCTTTGTTTTTTTTCATTTTATTTGGTTTCTAGCATTTTTTGTGTGGGCTTTCAAAACAAAAACGAGACAGGCGCACTTTAGTCTGTACCATGCATGAACATACTTCTATGAAAAACTTGCTGGTTCTAGGAATTATCTTAATTAGAAATGCTTTTTCATTAAGTCCGAATATTTCTATATTTTTGAGCAATTTCCAAGAATGCCTTTGAAACATTTCTAATTCTCGGAGCACTATCGCAAGTAAATATAATGTTTGTCTCTATTTTTCATCATATCCTTTTTTACTCATCTGTTTGATTTAGTGTTATTTTTTACCAGGTTTTTATTCTTGGATATTTTCTGTCTTTTTTTGTCTTTTTATGGGAATAAGTTTGTCAAATTTGTAAGTGTCCATTCCATAAAAAAAAAAATTCATGGTGCATATAACTTGCAACAATTTTAGTACCTTGTTTGACTTGTACCGTATTCGTCGTGTATCTTGATGTATAATTTTCGTGTTTTTCTCAATGGTCACGAAATATTCAAGTTTTCTTCCTTTAGAAACAAAAAAATAAATGTATACACAAATTTTATTTCACAACATGAATATGCATTTCTCTAATTCTTGCCCGATTTATCATTTTCCTGACCTGTTGATTATATTTATTTAATCAACGTGTGGTTCGTTTGATCTCAGTTTGTCATTGGTCAAAATTCTATTATGATGTCAAATTTTCTTGCTTTCCTCTGAAATTCCTATTGTGACGTCATGAAAAAAGGCGAACATGTCACGAGGTTACATAGAAAGAACACAGTTTTTGCAGATTATTCGAAAAGAAGGATTATGATTGTCTGCATATCGTCTAAAAATCATTAGAGAAACAGATTCCACCACCAAATCTCGTGCAATACGATATTTATCCACTCTCGACAGTTAAATTTTAAATATTTGAAACGCTCGGCGAGCCTCGCGTTTTAAATTTGAAAATTTAACTGTCTCGAGTGGATTAATATCGTACCACACTCGATGCAGTGGTGGAATCTATATGTATCCGTTCAGCAAAATTCAGAAAAACAGGATCAATAAATGTCGTGTAAAAATAATTATATAAAAATCGCGTATGAAGTCAACTCGCCGTTTCATAATCTAAAGCATTGTGGGTAATAGTTCCGAAAGTGTACACCACAGCATTGTGATTAGCTAACGATGTCCTCAGCAATGGAAATTCAAACAATGGTGTGACGTTTTTTTTATCTTCGTTTTGGGGTACGAAAAAATGAAATTACTCATTCTCCTTTAAATCAGTGAATTATAATATATTGCCTTAGATACAAAAAGAAAAGATAGGTGTAAACAATCGGATTCACATGAACTCAATACTAGGCTATACCAGATGCGTAAACATTCTGATCATCTCCCTCTCAGTATTTATCGCTTGCAAAACAATTGATAGGTCATATCATGAAATAATTGTCAAAGTCCGTAAAATAACAAAGATAGACAAGAGTATATATGTCAGAGATAAAATGGTTACAAAACTTTTGAATTTTTGAAATACTAAGGCTTTTCTACCTCAGAAATAGATTACCTTAGCTGTATTTGGCAAAACTTTTAGGAATTTTGGTCCTCAATGCTCTTCAACGTCGTACTTTATTTGGCCTTTTTAACTTTTTTGGATTCGAGCGTCACTGATGAGTCTTTTGTAGACGAAACGCGCGTCTGGCGTATATACAAAATTTAGTCCTGGTATCTATGATGAGTTTATTCAGTACGTTAATATGTATCCAAATCTTCATACTACTAGAGAAAGACATGTACGAATACATTTTCAACATATCCTTCTCTATAAAGCTATATAGATATTAAAATTAAACTAGCGAAGAGAGAAATGTATCAAACATTCTCATAACTGATGAAAGCAATACACAATAAAAAGCTGTCAATACTTTAAGAAGCCACTCAAAATAGAGATTTATCCATACACTGATTTTTGTACCATTTTACAAAAAGGAACACATTCGGACAATATACTTTAATGTTTATACTTCGGAAGAAAGCAGTCTATTAAAGTACTTATACCATTAATTGGAGACATGCTTCCTTCTGATCAAAAATTATATCAAAGACAGCGGTATATTTTTTACGTGTATCCAATCATTCAAGCTTATTTCGAAAGCAAAGTATGTTAATACTAGTTAATAAATTGCCTCGTACAGATCTTTAACTCTAATTTGATTTTGGCCCTCCTTAATGTTAAAATCCGAATGCCACTTGTGTTTCCAATGTAGACTAAACTCGTCTGGTGGATTTTTGTATATGCTGAACCATTTACAAGTATCTTTGATGATTTCTTTTTTAAGAAAGTTAATAAAGTAAAGGGACAGGTCTAAAATAGTGAAGTTTTTTTCTGGTACACTAATTGTTTTCAAAGATAGAAGTGTATACATTTATTTCCCGTGTCTGAGGTAGATATGAAGTTTTGTTCAATGTCACGTGGGTTAGTCTCAACCAATCAAATGTTGATTTCGTTATCTGTATTTACATCCCGATTTACATACAGTGGAATAAAATAATTTACAATCACACCTCATCTCTTTATTTTTATACTCCTCTTGGAGAAAAATGTTAAAATTATCAAACTTACTTTTGTTGTCCAGAAATCCATCCTGATAAATGAGATAGTCAATAACCTTTCGTCTGCTTGAATAGGAATATCTAAACTCTACATAAGCTCCTATACCACGTGGTATTGGTGATATAAGTAAGGCCCCAAATGTTCCTGGAAACATTGTAACCATTATTCAATTATAATAGTATACTTATTGTATGCAGGACACAAATAAAACGAGTTTCACATAATCTTATACATTTTAAGCTGGCTTTCTGAATAAATAACACTAAAAGAAAATAGCATAGTGTCAACTGATATATAACTACATATAAGTTGTTAATTGAAAAGGGCAATCACCCCCAAAGGAAGATAAACTCAGGTGCTCCGGAGAGTCGATAGTACATTATATGACTTTCTTATAGTTTCTGTAAGATCATTCAAGAAAACCTATATGAACCATGTTAAAACAAGAGTACCTTTGCTTTAGACATGATTCTTCATAATTTAACTTTTGCAACACACGTCGCTCTGAAATGCAGTACATTTGCTTTAGACATGATTCTTCATAATTTAACTATTTTAACACAAGTCTCTCTGAAATGCAGTTGTAAGAAATATTTACCATGGTCGAATGACGTGTCATGTTCAGGAATACCAGCTACCTCTCCACGAGGGTATCTTTTGGTCGTTATCGTCAAATGAAGTTGTTTTTTCGCTATATAATTTAGGTAATAGGATGGAACATTATACCATTCTCCACAGAACTTTCTGTCTCTTGTTTGTTGGAAGTCATGTTCAAGCAGTATGTTTCCGTTGCTATCAACAACATTTATTTGTTTGGGATTCTGTAGTCTGTTTCAAAACAATATAAATATATTTCAATACGTGCATAAGAACTACAACCATGTCTATGATTATCGTACAACATGATAAAAAGAAGATTTGAAACCTTGTTAATAGAATTAAGTAACTTTCGAACACCAGTAACCAAAAGTAGAGATCTACTGTGTTTTTTCGCAATCACTGAAAATTGTTTCTCGCAAAGCTTGTTCTAACAACAAATAGTACTACAAATGTTTACTCTACCTGTAACATTCTAAAACAAAAAACTGTTTAAGCACATTCAAAAGCATAAGACTGTCTCCAATAAATTTCAGGCATAGTTTTTATGCCCCACCTAGGGGCATTATGATTTTCGATATGTGCGTCCGTTCGTTCGTCCGTTCGTCCGTCTGTCCCGCTTCAGGTTTAAGTTTTTGGTCAAATGTAGTTTTTGATGAAGTTGAAGTCCAATCAACTTGAAACTTAGTACACATGTTCCCTATAATATGATATTTCTAATTTTAATGCCAAATTAGAGTTTTGACTCCAATTTCACGGTCCACTGAACATAAAAAATGATAGTGCGAGTGGGGCATCCGTGTACTATGGAAACATTATTGTTTTCATAATCTTTTATCTTTGTTGTTTTCGTTGAAACAAATAAGAAAAATACGAACGCAGATGATTTCACTACACAAATGGAATCGGTTGCATAAAGTTATATAAAAATAAGGAAATGTGGTATGATTGCCAATGAGACAACTATCCACCCAAGTTCAAATGAAGTGGATGTAAGCAATGTTATGTTTTTACACGCAGATGCGTATATGAATATTTATCTTGAACCAATATCACATTGGGACAATCAGTAAATATCAAAATACGGTTCTTTAACGACAGACATGAAATAGAGACTACGAAAGATCAGACATCAACATCAAGTTCTTACAATTGAAGAATTGAAGATTGACTGGTTGTTGGTGTTTAACGACACTTTCAGCACTATTGACTATATCGTGGCGGACAGTTGTTACTGTCACGGAGGAAGCCGGAATACTAGGAAAGAACTACCGATCTCCGGCAGAAAAACTGAAGGTCGGTTGTTTCTATCATAATTGAAGAAAAAAATAAGTTAACACAGGCAACTATTGGTTTTCTCATTTCAGCGTATTTTTGTTTCAATTTGCGATTCTTTTCGAATCAATATGGTCAACATTGTCTTATAAAACGTACATGAATAACAGGAATCACCAAAAAGAAAGGACAGCAGAACAGACTATACCAACCACCAACACCTAATTCCTTCGGAAAAAAACACACAGAAAAAAAGACAAACACAACGACAACAAATGGTCCTGATACCCTGAATTGCTAAAGGCACAACATGTGGTGGATCATTCCTGTTGTTGTCTGATCTACATGCAAACAACTGTAGTTCTTTTCAATTTGCTTTTTAACTTCACACTGTCTGTTTACTGTCTGTAAACATGATTCCGTCAAGTACATTTAAAAAACTACAAATGAAGAATGGTAGATGGACTGACATTGGCAGTCAAAGCCACTTTATGATAAAAATAAAAGTAAAATTAGATGAAGGTATATTACAATTCATATTTTAAGAATATTTTAAATGTCTTACTCTGCATATCTTACGGAGAACTGGAGTGTAGCATCTTTCTTGACCAATAAATATACCATTGCAACTGCTTTTGTCATGAGAGGTGGGGAGCCAACTACATTCTTACCAACCAACAGAGCTGTGTATCCTGAAATAAAAATCAAGCGCATTTTAATATAAATCATACCGCGCGAAGGTATATCACAATATTAAAACATAGTCTGCAAGTAAAACGGTAAAGAACAAAAACTACAAGAATATGTTTTGGGAGCTTCAAAACAGAACAAAACATAAACAGAACAGAATAGCAAACTCCATATTAAGTCAAGTTTGTCTCACAAAGTTGTAACCTTATTTTGTCATTTAGAAAAAGACATGATTTATTTCACTTACCGTTAAACGAATTACTTCATATACCAGTAAGTGTAGGAGATTGATGAAATTATATAAAATAAAATAAAATGGTTGGTCTTTGTTGACCGAAAAGGAAAGGCCAATTTCTTGCGAATTTATTTCACACCAATGACACTTTGAAAAGTCTTTAAGTAGCTTTAGTTAAATTTCACAGCATCAATGGTAATTTTAGTTCATAATGGTGTATTTCTTAGAGCTTTTAACCAAATTATGCCTAAAGACGACTCAAAACTGCAATTTTGACGGAAAATAAAAAATACCCCAAGAAATGGATATCGAAACTCAAAGGATATAAAAGAGGGTAATCATAATCGTCCAACGTTATACATTGCTACGTTCGTTAATATTACCTTAATGGATTGTTGAAGATAAAATTAAAGTTGTGGCAACGGTTTGGAAACTCATTCGATTTCATCATCAATTTAAATTGCAAAGATGAATCATCCAAAAAACCACTGCCATTAGATTCCAAGAAAACCACAACTTCTAAATCTACAGTGTATTTCTACTATTAAATATAAATAAGTTAATCAATGACTACATACGTTGCTCTTTGTATTCCTCCCTTGCTTCTTTATCAGAATTCACAGAGCTTTCATAATGGTCATTAACGTCTTGTGGCAGCAAAACATACTGGTCCTCAAACGATACTGTAAACATTAAAAAAGAAAGTACACGCGATGTCGTGTAAAGGATACTTCAACTCGTTATTAGATTCCGACAACAGATTCCATGCTCAGTGATTGTAATAAAACTTCAAAGTACCTTTAAAAGAGAAGTGACCGCCCGGGAGTATGGTTAATGGTACAACTAAACATTATAAAGTTGCAAAATATTTAACAAGTCATTCCTTTACACAAAATCTGAATAATATTTTAATGAAAGTTCCATGCTCAGTTGGTATAATAAAAAAAAATTAAAACATCGTCAAACAGGAAGTGTCTTGCAGATGTGAAAACCGCTAATATTGTTGAATTCAACATTAAAAAGTTCAAGACCAAATATAAAATCATTCTTTAAAACAATAGCACGGTACAGTTAAATGTAAAGAAATTACGGACAGACGTATGGACGAGAAGGTACGGACTGACAAGGTGAATGCAGAATAATATTTAATCAATACGAATAAGTATAAAAAAGAACATAGCTTAGGCATATCCCTTACTAGAGTGTTTTTCGGATACCTCGAATAATCATATTATGATATTATAAAACGGAGTTCCATTAAGCAAAACTTACAGTTAATGGTATTTTTTGCACCTTGTACATTGTAGTGTTGCTATGTGTTTTATGGTTCAAAATTGTTGTACATATACATATGTCGCAAGGTGTAGATATTTCATCAATGAGAGTAGAAATGTACTATGCGAATTAATTGCCTTACAAACCACACTACGGGTGCCACGTGTTGAGCAGGATCTGCTAACCCTCCCGGAGCGCCTGAGGCCACCCTTGGTTTTTGGTTGGGTTCGTGTTGCTCAGAAATAGTTTTTTTTTTTTTTGTGTTTTGTATTCTCTTTAGATTGTTTTTCGCATTTTTTTTTTTTTTTTTTTTTTGCCATGGCATTGTCAGTTTGTTTCGACTTTGAAGATCCTTTTGTTATCTTTCGCCTCTCTTTTTTAGACATACTGTTGTGCATTGCTATTTGATTTGATAAAAACCATCGATTAAGAGCTAACAAAACATGATTGGTGACCTACCAATACTTATATACGCAACCTATATGCACCATTTTGTTTAAATAAACTAAAGGAGAATGAAAAAGAGATTGTTTTACCTTAATTTTATATCAATAACTTGTGTATGCTATTTAACCTATAAATTTATATTGAAACAATTAAGTAAAAATCCAAGGACATATACAATAATGATTTAGGCCTGATTAAGGTGGTACATAACACTACAGGGAGATAATAGATATAAGAAGATGTGGTATGAGTGCCAATGAGACAACTCTCCATCCAAGTCAAAATTTATAAAAGTAAACCATTATAGGTCACAGTACGGTCTTCAACACGGAGCCTTGGCTCACACCGAAAAGTAAGCTATAAAGGGCCCCAAAAAATTACTAGTGTAAAACCATTCAAACGGGAAAACCAACGGCCTAATCTATATAAAAATTGAGAAACGAGAAACACTTATGAACCACATCAACAAACGACAACTACTGAACATCAGATTCCTGACTTAGGACAGGTGCAAACAAATGCAGCGGGTTTAAACGTTTTAATGGTACCAAACCTTCACCCTTTTTCTGAAACAATAGTGTAACATCACAACATAGAAAGACACACTATAAAATATCAACTGAAATAGCTTAACTCAATCAAAGGACATATTAACACCATTGAACATACACTGAACAAATAAATTTGACCTATGACACAATGTAAATACAAAATAAATAAACTAAGGGCAGAATAATAAAAGTAACATGTTATATCGGTAAGAAATGTTAAACAATTAAAGAAAAACAATATGCTCGAACAATAATATCAGCCATTTGTAATAACTTTAAACACAGGTAAATGAAAATAATTTTGTTGTTAGGTATACGTGTACAGTACCAATAGAGAAAGGAAATATTTTTACAAAATAAATAATTTTGATGTTCATAGTACGAAGTGAAAATTTATAGTTATACCAAACAATTATCAAAGATGGTATATAGACCAGATATAACCCTGAATAACATTAAATAACAAAAAAGCAATACAATTAGTATCAACAGGTCAAATAAACAAGAAAGTACGATTTGAGAGTACTCGCAGTTACTGACAGCTAGTTAAAAGCCAAAACAATTAATAATAAAAAATCATGCATCAGAGACTAAAATCAACGATAAGTCTGTAAATATCAGCTGAACGTTTTAATCACGTTCTATTGTTAAGGAAATATAAAACTTCGCAAAGATCAAAATTAGTGTTTGTCAAACTGCTATATATCCAATGAATTTTTTCCGATAAAGTGTGTGGTTCAAGTTTTTTGAAATTTTTATATTTTTGTCAAAGGGTCAAAGTAAATATTTTGTCAAAGTTTTATGAAATTTAAACGAGCCAAATTAATTTTAGTCAAGGTTTTTGGTACCACCTTAATTTTATCGTACATGTACAAGTTAATTCATTATACAGCTAATTTTGGATGTTTTGATTTACAATGAAATAAATGTTTGTTTTTTTTATTAAATACATGTACTTCCGTTTGTAGCCCAACCAAGTATCATATAAATGTGTCTGTTATGCAACGTTCTATGATAAAAAATATAATCATATGAATATGATTTCTAAATTGAAATGTGTCTAAATTTTCAAAACATTTTCTAAACATTTTCGCTTCTGGAATATCTTTATAACATTACTTTTTATACAATGCCTTATTAGGATTAACTACCTATTCCTTTTTCCCTTAGTATCTTTTTTTTTATTTACACGTATTTATGAATAACCATTGAACTATGTTATTAATTCAGACTATTTAATTATAACCACTCTCATTCAAAATTTTATATTTACTTTTTGACAAAAATTTAAATAAAATCACGTATCGGTTTAATAAATAAATATTTGATCAATAGAGAACTATTTGCCCCTAGTCTGGACTATTATATTCTAAGTCCACCCAGCAAACACTGACAATGATGTAATATCACCATCTAAGTTTTCTAAGTACCGTATTTACCTAGTCACTAGCCGTAGTGGTAAGAATTGCTACTTTTAACAACTTTAATATCCATCTAGGGGTGAAGTATTACTTTGACACGGTGTAGAAAAACAAACACTTAAGTACGTGATTTATTCAGTTAATATTTACAAAATTGTAACAAAATATACCGTTAAAATAATACCATTAAGACTTTTCTATTGTTTTCAGTTCTTTTAGAATTATTAGTATTTGATATAGTCACATTTAAAAATGTCAAAAATGTAGAAATAATTAGTCATAAATATAATTTGATAAAAAATTCTGTATGCCAGAAAATTTCTCACGTTCTTTGTTTGTATAGTGAGTGCCTTTTTTAAAATATCAAAACTGAAGAAGCATAATTAGGGTGTTTGAGTGTGCTTCAGTAAGAAAAACGGTTCTGTATTAGGTTCTATTTTTATCATAATGTATTATTTGTCTGGCAATTATTTACTTTTTTAATTCCATTTCCAATTATAGCCCCACAGCTTACAGAAATGAGAAAAGCTTTGAAGTTAGAAGATTTGAATAAAAAAAGCATGAAACATGTTTATTTATGAAAAAAATAAGCGCCCTTTGTAATTCTGTTTAAATAATAATGCGGAGATACATCCAGACCTGAAATTTAATCATAGCTTGCCGTGAATATGCTTAACTAAAAGCAACAATGAATAAGCTATTAAAACTAGTTTCATAATTGCCTACTTTTAACTCCGGAGTATATAATGTTTCGACAGGTTGCCTACTCTGGTAGGACATTCTGGTACTGGATAAAGTACGGACAACTAAAAGAAGTAAACTCAAGCTTACAATCGGTGCAATTTGGGGAAAAAATTAACTGCTTTATATTTTCTATACACAACAAAATCATCGGAAAACAGTTATTTGTTTCTCCAAATTGCACCGATTGTGAGCTTGAATTTACTTCAATTAATTGCTCTCACTTGACTGAGTACTAGAATGTCTTACCACAGAGTAAGTAGTTATACACTCCGGAGTCAAATGTTGGTAACAAGAAAATAGTCTTTTACTTTACGAAAAAACATGGATATTATATTTAAAACGAAATTATCTCTAATTCAATTTGAACAAACGGAATACTGACCTTGACCTTGACAAGATTTGCAGCATTTGCCGGGTGGCAGTATTGGATTGTGACAGTTAGGTAATGGACATTTATCTTTGATATTGACACATTTCGCTTTTCCATAATGTTGAATTATTCCTTTCCTTGTCACCTGTAATAGAATGTTACAATGTAGCTGAATTTCACAAGTACTTTTGGGTGGATGGATGGATGGATGGCTGTGTAACAGCCAGTGGCAAATTAAATGCATACTCAGGACGAGAACATGATCATGTGATATAAGCCCTGCTTTGTACTAGACTGACACGCTGAGTCGACTTTTTAACGTGCTAGTTCACAAGGTAACAGTTCGCAGGAAGACATGTCACCCTACCCGGACACGTTATTCTGACTCCGAGACTACCAGTCTTTGCTCTTACTCCTAAATGCCCCTAAGCAGGAAAGCAGCAAGTACCAATTTTCAAGTCTTCGGTTTGACCCGCCCGGGGTTCGATTTCATGACATGCCACACTCAAGACGAGCACGTTCCTACGAGACTACCGAGGCGGTTTTAGAGTAATCTGGGTTTGAATGGTGTTTACAGAATAGTGAATATTAATTAAAAATAGAGAAAAGGATAAAAATTTAAATATTAGAGAACAATGATGGGTCCAAAAAAAACCAAAAAGATGATTATAGTGGGCTGCTAAAATATAAAGAAAAGAGAATGATAGACAACAAAGTAAAGAATAGAGAAAAATATCTTAAAACTTTAAAGAATATAGAAATCAAAAACCCCATTAGACCCTAAACAAATTATCGGCTTGCTGTTAACAAATTAAGCAAATTATTGATGCATTAACACGCCCCTTTATTGGCTATCGGTACTGCAAATGCAATGGGTAGCACAGACAAAAATCTGCTGTACACGATGTACTGCAATGCTAATCGGGATGCAGACAAAAATCTGCTGTACACGATAGCAAAAATAATTGTTTTGAATGGCAGTCGGGAACAAAAATCCTATTGTATGATAGCCGATAATAGGGTGTGATTCTTGAAAGTACAACATTTTTTCTCTCCGTCATCTTAAGGAAGCACACTAATTTTTTGATAATTTTGAAACAATAATGAAGTTCATATGCTTATTTTGCAAGTCAATAAAGTTAATACTACATGATAAATGCATTTTAGATTAAGATTTAGTATTGTTACATTCAGTGGCAAATATTTCATGCATGTTCAGGACGAGAAATAATCAAACAATACATCAAGTAAGAAATAAACAAAACCATTTGTATCAGTGATATCAAATGGTAAACTTCCCTGCCTTACAAAAACCTGAAAGCCTTCCGGAAATACCTAATGTTTTTATTAGTAATGTCGTAGTGTACAGTTTATGTACTTCTGAGACCTTTATTTCAGTATTTCGTTCATTTGTTTTTTGCAAAATGCACATGTATACACTGGCATTTGTTTGATGAATTGTCCATAACTTAATAACTGTATACATCTGAGAGAGTACTGTAATTTATTCTTTAAAAAAATGACACACGTTTAAAACACTTATTTTTACTTCTCTTAAAGACCAAATGGATGCCAAAAAAGATTATTCGAATTCAAAATCAACGTAAGTATTTTGGTCGTCTCAATTGTGTACTACGTCAATTTATTGCCATTATATATCAATACTTAGATTATTGTATTCTCAGACGGCTAGTTCAATATAGGTTTTGTTTGTTTGACTGATATATCTTGAGCAAAGTCAAACTGAAGATGTTTTGTTGAATGGTATGTAGTCTGATTGAGAATAAAAGTGGATAGATGAGAGAGAGAGAGAGAGAGAGAGAGAGAGAGAGAGAGAGAGAGAGAGAGAGAGAGAGAGAGAGAGAGAGAGAGAGAGAGGGAGAGAGAGAGAGAGGTTAGAATAAAATATGCTGTATAAAAAAATAGTGCACAAAAATAATGCCGGAGGTTTTTCATTTTCTTCTTCGTTCTTTAACTTTCTTGCTTGAATATAGTCGATAGATATCAAGTAAAATATTCTGCTGATATTCAAGACCGTTCGGATTTATTTTTGCTTAGTTGTCGATTGTCCTTGTTCATGTAAGCTTTCCCTATAATATGTCAAATATTTCCATAAAATCTTGTTATGGCATTGAGATTTCAATAAAAACAAAATCATTAGTTGACTAAAACACGGAACGACGGGGTACTCTAAGCAAGAATCGATGACAAACTATAAATTCTAAATTGGAAAAGGATATTATATCGTCTAAATATGTGTTGTATTATGCGCAAATTAATTCCATATTAGATCCTTAAAGTAAGTCTCCTCTTTTTTTCTTTTTTTTTTCTTTTCTACTATTTTTACTATCTCGTCAACGTTTATCGATTGATTCTTAAATTTATATGAATTTAGCATGCTTAATATGGGGTTATGGTCGGTATAGCAGCAATTAACGCCGTATTTAATGTTTCTGTCCCATAAACTGTTCGTCCTTTGAAGTTCATTTAAAGTAAACAGAACGTTTCGAAATCTATAACAACAGATGATGTAAAAACAATTTATTGTAATGGTTGAAACTGATACTTTTCAAGTAATAAATTAAAATCTAACGACCTAAACGTGCTTAATCAGATGCATAGAACATCCTTATAAACGTTTAATCTACGACTCAGCAACGACAACTTGATTTCAACCGGAGTGTTATAGTCAAATCATAGACTCGCACCAATAAAAGAAAGAATCTATACCACTATTCTCAAAAGGTAATCATTCTTTTATCCATAACCTTTTAACCTGAATCTTACGGGAGTTTTAAATTCTTCGATGTTTATTTATTCATTTTAACACCTCCCGTCTAATTTTCTCTTTTGAATTGCTCTTGAACAATTGTAAGTGTTAAGCCCCGACGATCGATTTAATCCGGTCGTCTTAAAGCGAAGTCATACACATGGCGTTTATGCGGTATCCGTATGAATAATAAGGCACAAACTATTGCTTGCAGGAAATCCGTTTCTTTAGTATACCTATGTACAAATTTAATCCTGCATTATAAATTATTTAAATTGATAACTTTATTTGGACAGACGACAAGCTGTAGGAAACGAATTTTAACCATTTTCTGGTACACGTTGCTTTGAAAATCTCAAGTGGTATAATTAAAAACAATTTTACAATCATGTTTCGCTTTAAAATTGGAATAATTTGTCATTGTAATAAATCACCGAATTATTTTTGTCTGGTATGAGTGTTAGTCTAGAAACTTTTCAAATTACCCTGTATTCAAAAAAAAATTACGAGACAGAAATAACTTGTACGTGCATATATATGAATATTAGTAAGTACGTCTAAACAAGTGACAACTCTACGACAGATCCATTCATTGGATCACCAATGAAGATGATACACGGCTGAAAACACATATTATATTCATAATTACACTAAATATCAGCACAACAATGTTAAATCTGCAAATTTGCTGAAGCAAATTTTTGTTCTTCCCTCGCCGGGATTCGAACTCATGCTATTGGGATATCGAGACAACACCGCCTGAACCGTGTCCAGCGCTCTAGACATGGAAGCATTTAGAAACTTCAAAAGTATACAAAATAAAAGTATTTTGTCAACTTATTATAAATAGCAAAAGTCGCAGAAATACAATCGACACAAAAAAAAGAATGCGGGGTTTACGCCATTTAGAAAGCAACAAAGCGACAAACAATTTATGTCAACAGGTGACCTTAAGGATGTATTCTTCTGACGTTTCAGTCTCGTTGAAATCTCCTTCTGTTATTATTTCAAAAACATGTGATACACGTGGAAAATATCAATGAATTTTAAAAAAAAGTATAATCAAACTTAACTCTGTGAAAAAAATGTGTATTTACAATAAGTACATGTAGTTTTTTTTTTTTTTTAATTTTATAACCAATCAAGTCAGTCTCATTAGCCAAAATGTTGAGAAAATGGGTGAGGGGTACAAGAAATGGTTTTACCAGATACATGCACATCCCATATCAATTTTTCTTTTCAAATTTCTTAGATATGTATTTTTTCAACCATTTATAACAAAGAAGTTGAAATAATATGCTTTTTGTTCTGAAAAAAAGAAAAATCCCAAATTTATAAAATTGACTACATGGTAAATATGACACGAAAAAGCAACAAAATTTTGTAAAACTTTCTTATATTAACACCTACCCATAGTTTTTTTTTATGTTAAATTTATTCAGATTGGTCCACTTCATCTTTAGTGAAAGTATGAAAAAAAAATTAATTGTGAAACTGTGATTTTTTTTCATGATAATAGCCCAAAAATGGGTAAAAATTGATGAAAAATGGGAAAATCATCAAAATTGGGTACTTTCAAATTGCTGTAGCAAAAAAAGAAGTGCACCACCATATGATTTTTTCTTCACCAATTATTTTTTTACAGTCATATAAACCCAAAATTCAGGTTAAGAAAAAGGTTTTATTCTAGAAATTTTTGGCTCCTCAGAAGTGTACATCCTTAAACAATAGACAAATCTAATCAACAGAGATTGATCTAAAAATTGCTCTAAAAATGAAAAAAATATCAATTGTATGCGTCAGAAGCGCTTTTCTGGATTTACCTTCATCAGGAACGGTCTCAAAGTCAAATATTTGAAAGCCAAATATGTATAAGTAACAAAAAACGTGAAGAACTATATGATTAAAAGACAACCTAACAATAATAGCCAAATCCCTCTAAGCTCAACTTTGCCTGATGGAGTTTGAACCTTAGTTTCTTAATGATTTCTAAATTTATAAATGGACAATTTAAGAAAGGATATGTAACAAATCATGAATGATTTTATATGAATGAGTTTGGGTTTTTTTTCGTACAAGGGACAGGAAAGATAAATCAATGCGGTTTTCTGGATTAGATATCACTAAGAACCATGAAAATCATGTTTTTATAGGTTTGGACGGCAACCGACGTATAAAAACATATTGATCCATATACATTTGCCTTGACTTATACCCAAAACACATGAAAAAGTTACTTAGAGAAGTAATAACATCAATTTTCATAAAACTTATAAAAAAAATTATCATCTGAGAATAAATTTTATAAATCTATAATTTAAAAATTTGGATGGAGAGTTGTCTCATGGGCACTCATGCAACATCTTTTTATTTATAATGACCAGTAAAATGTGTCAAGAGGTATAATTGATGAAATGCTTGGTCTGTAATGGACCAAAATCAAAACTGTGTGATACTATATTAGTTTAAGTTATTGAACTTTTTTTTTATAAGTATTGTAGAACTTTTGGGGTTTTTTTAGTACCCGAGTTTATAGTCAGTTTTTTTTTATCAATTTTAAGCTTCCTGTATAGTATTTTGACTGGTTTTAATCTTTTCATCTTTTTTATTTTGGTCATTGTTTTTTTTTTTTTTTTTTGCTCTTCTTTGACCTAAGATTTTGATGCATGAGATTATTCATTGCAAGTGGTAAATTAGTGATGACTGAGCGGATTTTAGACTTGGAGACTAACTACTCGTCTACAAAAAGTGTTACGGGAGGGGTTGTGCTAGATGACATAATCTTTCAATCAGTTTAATTGAGATCTGGAGCTGGCATGTCAGTAACTGCTAGTAGTCCTTTGTTAATTTATGTATCATTGTCATTTTGCTTAGTTTCTTCTGTTACCTATTCTAACATCAGACTCTGACTTCTTTTAAACTGAGTTTTACTTTGCGTATTGCTATGTATTTGTTTATTCTACATTGGCTAGAGGTATAGGGGGAGGGTTGAGATCTCACAAAACATGTTTAACCCCGCCGCATTTTTCCGATGGTCCAAAGTCAGGACCCTCTGGCCTTTGTTAGTCTTGTATGTTTTTTTTTTTATTGTGGTTCCTTTATATGTTTCGGAGTTTAGTGTGACATCCATTTTTCGCTGAACTAGTACACATTTTTGTTTAGGGGCCAGCTGAAGCCCGCCTCCAGGTGCGGGATTCTCTCGCTGTGTTGAAGACCCATTGGTGGCATTGGGCAGTTTTCTGCTCTTTGGTCGGGTTGTTGTCTCTTTGACACATTCTCCGTTTCCATTCTCAATTTTATCGACTACGAGTCGTCAAAAACGAAGAACTTTTCTGCATTAATTAAACTTTTTTTAATAACGAGTCAAAAGATTCTGTCCAAAATAGTGGGGGAAAACGAGAAAAATAGCCCCCAAAATATGGAAGAAAATTCTCAAAAGGTACATGTTTCTATACTTTTTTTGCAAATCAGATCTTTAAGTAGGCTTAGGAGAATGATCTTTTGAGTTATAATTGAACATGACTTTCGTCTATTTGTTAGTTATCTCCGATATTTTAAAGTTTAATCTATTTTATCTATCAACAATGCAATGCATTAATGCATACCCAAGACTATTTTTTGGGTAATTTGTATAAGAAGGAACGTAACATTCAAAGACTATTTTCAGGTAATTGGTATAAGAAAGGACGGAACATGTCATAGCAAAAAGTGTGTTGGTAAGTAAGCAAATCAATAAAACACAGACTAAACAAATTAGCACGAAGAATAAAATTGTTGATTACAAACCAGCAGGCGATAAGTTAACGCGCGTGCCATGCTATCGGATGAGAGATGTGTATTGCCCTCGTTAGCAAGAATATTGACAGGTTTTATCATTATGACAAGTATAATTAGCTGTAAACAGCAGATATGATTTCATTTTGTAATGGTTACTCCCAATGAAAACACGGATCTACAAAGATGAATTTGAATTCCTTACGAGAAAAAATGGTAAAGCCATTCTATTTGAAATGAATACCTCTACATATGTAATGACTTTCATTGAAACAGGTGTCGGAATACTTTTTGATTGTGTGAGTGGGCGAATTGGCGATAAAATTCTTCTAGAAAATGTGTATTATGAAAAAATGTAATGTTGATGTTTTTACACCCAAAAACCCTAGCTACAGATACTTTTCATAGGGACAGCTGCCATTCCGACATATTTTACTAGCTATTTAACTTCAGAAAAATATTATTCAAAAAAGTTTACAAGAGCAAGTATTTTACTTGCATTGATTTTTCATTTAACATAAGTAATGTCAAAATAATAATGAAGGTTTTGATAAATATCTAAAGTCTAACGGAGTTCAATTCCACCGGAGATATTGGACAATAAGTTATACACGATCAAAACGAAATATCTTTATGTGAATCGATCTTTGTACTAGAACAGAATTTAACATCCGACTCGGAGACCACTGTTTTTTTTTTCTTAGACTCTTAACTTTCTTGTTTTAGTAGATACACTGCAAATCAGAATATTTTGTTTGACTCGAATGGACTGGTTGTGTTTTTTTTTCTTTGACCAAACCACACATATCAATTAGAATTTGTCTGTAAAATTTGTGTCATAGTGATCCAGTCTTTCTATGGACCTTTTCAAAATAAATTATATATGTTTTCACTGACAAAATATCGTTATTATTTTACTTTCAGTCAATGAAATAAAGATCTTGCATCATAGTTTGTTTTTATCATGCATGAAATATATAGACTTGGTGCCTTATTTTAACCTTCTATGTACATTACCGAAATATAATTTCTCTATGGTTTGAAGTTATTAAATGTAGACAAGCATGAAAATTTAGATCGAGTTTACACAAAATACCTCTAATTGTTCTATTCATATCTTCTTTTTCTTTTCTTTTTTTTTTGTATGTGTGTTTTGTTTCATATAGTCGTGTCGTATGAATAGATGTCGTTTTGTTCAGCTTTTCAATTTATTTTACGTAAGAAAAATGCATACAAGTAGAAGTCGTTTTCGATTTCTTATTTTTTTTTAAATAAAATGAGAGTTATGTAAGAGAATCGTGACATAATCTTTACTTCAGGAATTCATAAAGTCGTGTAGTCGCAGTATTTTTGCAAATTGTTTTTAGAAATTGACATGGTTACCAACTGCGCTGTTACTACTCCTCTCTTACATATTAAATAATTATCACAATTCGCCTTGAAAATGGAAAATTGCAAAAAAGTACCTGTTTTATGCAATCGATGAGATGTGATAAAAATTAAGTTTTGTTTAAATTAATTCTTTTCTACAATCCACGAAAGTTCCAATTCTAATTTAAAACGATTGAATGTAGCTTGCTAAATGTCCAGTAGCAAATATTTCACGACATCGCAGGTTTGGAAGATCAGTAATTTATAACACTTTTTCACTGTGAAAACTTCAATAGATCTCTGATGTAGATGGTTCTAACACATTAAATAAAACCTCATAATTTCTGTGAAAAGTCCGTGCACGTATAGTGATTAGGCTAGGGTAAATCCCGGGAGAGCCCAAGTCAACCCGCCTCCTCCTCCCCCTTTATGGACGATTCTTATTTCTCATTTTTAAGGCAAGATTTCCGGTGAGACTCTCCGGTCCTCCTCTTTATTATAAATCCCGGATCTTCGACTGTGTGGTATAACACTTTTTTTTAGGAGAATAACAAAATATATCTTTTAGCAATTTAAGTTAATTTCAAAAGCAATGACATATGTATAAGTAGTAATATTTAGACATATGTATAAGTAGTAATATTTAGACATATGTTTAAGTAGTAATATTTAGACATATGTATAAGTAGTAATATTTAGACATATGTATAAGTAGTAATATTTAGACATATGGACATATATATAAGTAGTCATATTTAGACATATTTATAAGTAGTAATATTTAGACATATGTATAAGTAGTAATATTTACCGGAATACACTGGCAAAGAATACAAACAAGTCTTCCGTTTGGTTCCAATGCAGGTGAAAATTTCTCCATAAGCTTGTAATGATGTTTCCCCAGCCAACATCCTGAAATAAATTCAGATCATGGTCCTTCTTATTTTAATTATAAACCTTTTTTATCATATATGTTAACATAATTGATACTTGTGACAAAAACAAATGATAAAAAAGCAACGAAAAATAAACTGAACTAAGAGTCCCCTGTCCTCAGCTCCAAAGACTGTTTTATAAAGAACCCGTTTTTTTCACTTGCTTTAGATTTGAAGGATTCAGCAGGACGACTAGTTTTCCAGTATCGGAAAGATTTGGAAATATAGGATTACCTATAGCAATGTCATTAAATATGTTTACTATTATTTTTTTGTTGTTGTTATTTTGACAGTATTAGAAAAAGTAGTTTTCATCTTCTGTGGTTTACAGATCAGAAACGTTTATTGATTTCGAGGTAAATTCAGATATCTGCCCTTTTCTATAAGTAAAATAAGTTATGGTCACCAATATTTGTCACAAGTTTTTTTAATAAACGTCTAACAAAGATGTGCTCGTACCCGCTAGTCCGTCATGAAATATGGTTTTATATCTAACAAAGATGAACAGGATTTGACTAATAGTAACATTCCCTTTTTTGTATGCATATGAAAACAAGTATTTATAATATATTATATAATATTATCAAAATGTCTTGTTTACATTTTATAAGTAATATTCATTGTTGATATACATATTTTAAAAAAATACATATAAACACAAGGAGATAAGATATGATTGTCAATGAGACAGCTATCCTCCAGAGACAAAAGGACGATTATTTAAACACTGTACGACCTTCAACAATAAGCAAACTACGTTCAGATTATATGTGGCTATATGATGTTCAGTTAAGACCCTAAATAATATATGATGGTCAACGAGACATCTATCCACCAAAATACAAAAGGACGAGGGTTAAACAATATAGGACACTGCACGGCCTTCAACAATGCGCGAAATACGTAAAGAATATCTGTGGCTATAAGATGCTCAACGGTCAAGAGCCTAGATAACCATGCTTGTCAATGAGACACCTATCCACCACAGACAAAAGGACGAAGATGTAAGCAACTTCAGGACACTGTACGGCTTTCAACAATAAGCAAAATACATTCAAATTATCTGTGGCTATTTGATGTTCAGTTAACACCCTAGATAGTTAGTAAAGGAAATATAATATAAAGTTAAATTTTAACCGTATGAACATGCTTCATACTTGATTATCAAGTGTACGGATGGAATTACTTTAATACAAAAGAATTTCACGTCTTCATCCGAGTCCAGAACAAAATAAAGTTTAATTTTCTAGTATTTGATATGGTGTCTTTCGTGATGCGAGACCTTTGAACAAAGATGTCAACATTTTAAACACATCTTATTACATTTCTTCAGTTGTTATTTTGTTAAATATTTTATCTTTTCTTTGTTTCCTTTTAAAGTGATTCGTATTCAACACGATAAATAGCTATTATTTTTCTGTTAAACTTTGTATTTTAATGAACTAAAATATCTATTTCTATAAAGTATTTCACCTCAAACATGCGTACAATTTTTATATTCTTCAAGTTATTTCACTATAATTTTATTTTATTTAATTTGTACTTTTATAGAGGGTAATCACCATAAAAAGAGTTTTAGAGGCAATCATTTTACATAAAGAATAAAAATAATATTCCATCGTTCCCTTTGGTTGTGTGATGATGTTCTCGCCTGTAAGAGTTGTGAGAAATCAACAAGACTACCACTTTCGGTACCAATTTTACTGTATTGGATGACAATTAATGTCTCTTTAGTGAGGCTCCAGACTAAATGATTTGAAAATCAAAAACCTAATGTAAACGTTTAAGAGCTGATAAATCTAAAAGGGACCCGTCAAAGCTATGCCTGAGGGAGATACATTCCCTAATTCTAAATGATTTTCAAAATTTTATACAACCTGTAACAGTAAGAGATTTGATATTCTCCACTATTGTTTTGCCTAGTTTTAGAGAGTATGGTCACTAATTGAGATCAAAATTTATCAAATTTCGGTGGTTACAATACATTATTAAATCTTTGTTCAATACTTTTTTTTTTGAGAGAGAGAGAGAAAAAACCATTCCGCCCTCCTATTCTGCTACTCGCATCTAAATGCTTTTTTTCTAGAAAAAAGTTAAATTTCACTCTCTCTATTAGACTTCTTCTTGTCTCTTTTGAAATATAGGCTTAGGTAATGTAGTTGGTGAAAACAAAAAGGTTTGGCAACAGTCTGTCATAAAGAAATATGAACAAATACAGGACTATATAATTTGACATCAACTAACCGTCAATATAAGATTGGCGCGAGATTTTTTACAAGGGCACGGAATTGACGATACAAACTTATTTTGAAGGTTTGTTGATGTCAAATAATTCATGTAATATCAGTATTCTTTAATTTTAAGTGATGTATTGAAAAATGCGAATGAAGTGTTTACTATCTTTAATTACAGAAAATCATCTCATTGGTCTCAGAATAGTGATTAAGTTATGTTTTCTATTGCATTATTAATTAAATTGAGGAATACGGTTTACTTTTTTGCTATTCATACTTTGCAGATCCGTTTTCTCGTGAAATATCTCATTTCTTCTTATGAGATTTCTTTATGAAATTTCTTCGCCAATTTAGCTGTCATTTTTTGCCCGATTTAGTGTCAATATATCCTGCTGACGTCGAGAAAACTAATATCCCTGTCAACCTTTGTCAACTGGCAGTTGCTTTTTCAAATATTCTGAATTATCTAAACTTTAATAAGAAAATGAAAACAAGTAATTCAAGACGTTTAAAAAATTAGCGGCAACTATTGCAGGTATATTGATATCACTAAAAGATTTGAATTGACTTTAAAAATAACGGTCAGTGTCTTTGCGCAGTTTCTGTCAACAACGACAATACCCCCTTAATGATCTTTTGTACTGACTCGTGAGCATGTACACTATATCCATTTTTTTTCTATAGTGGAACAAAACATTTATTTTATTTAGTTTGTACTGTAAAACTTAAAATCTATGTCATCTGCAATGACAGAATAAGACGGCTCACTTTGGTTATACAAATTAAGTATTTTCCTCAAACATAAATTCTTTTTGACAAGTCCTAAGTTCAAACTTTTTTGTCAACATGTCACCTGAAATCGGACAAACCCCAAAAAGATATCCACAAAAGCAGACTAAATAGATTGACAGATTATAAAAAAAATAAACAACAAAACAAAAAAGACTGCTCGTTAATAGGAATCGATCGATTTAAAACAAATGAAAAATAACCTTGCTTTAATCAATTCAAAATTCTGTTTTTAATTTGAAAATACAACACAAAACACCTACACAAACGAAGGACTGCACTATATCACATACAGACTGATAGTTTTACTTGATATAAAACCTGTCAAAGCAAGCTAACATGCTATTCAGTGGATATAAACTGGAATTTTATGTTAAGAGCTGACACTTATTCTGAATGAAACATGCTGGTTTTGTCCTCAGGTGTGGATGTTAGCCTGTTTGTAACCACACCTTTGGTTCCTTGGAGACATTCTTAGTTTGAAAACACAATTTATGAATGGAAATGTATAATTCTATAACATGCTAGGAGGAAATTGTGATATTTTATGAAGAAATAAATCATGCCATTGTCATTATATCCATTTATAGTCTGCTTTAATGCCATTAGGTATATTCAACTAGCAAATACTGCAATGCAAAATGACTTGTTCTTTTTGTTAAATCATATAATGATCAGCCGTACTTTTATTATGCAAGTCAGTTTATGACAATTTATATTGTTTTGCATTTCATAATTCGGCATTGCATAAATCCCGCTCCTTCTAAACATGACCTTTGAACTATTATACAACGAATCCATGTTGTAGATGTTCATGTAGAAATCTTTTCAAGTATTTTTTTGTTTGTTTGTCTTACAGATATTTAGCTTGCGATTAACTTAGACCTGTTCATCGACAATTCAATGTATAATATTTAGCAAAGATGAAAACAACAGCTGGAAATAGGTTGAACAGATCTGAATTGACTGCAATGAAGTGTCTTAACATTCCTGAATTTACCAAAACTAAAATGTCTGAAAATTAACGGACGGATTGAATATGACTTTAAAGTTATTGTTCAGTCTTAAAAGATTGTTTGGGATTAAAATTAACATTTCAGTTCAAACAATATTAGTGTGTTAGCTCCCGACTTGAACCTAATACTACATGTACATGTACCACTATCTAGAATTGCCATTGCAAGTAATAGCCGATGTCACCCCGGTCCCCCAATTGCTACTCAACAGCAGCCAGTCATTTTGAAATTTTCAAACATTGAATGCACAAATATGCATTACAACACTTATGTCTGTAAATGTTTACTAAAGTTTGAAACATTTAAGAATTTTTTCACAATTTTGCTGTTTCCATGGTTACTAAAGCAACTAATCTTCCGAAAATATCACCTTTTGGCCGTAATGTAAGTTGGTGTACAGGGCACTGGTTCTTTTATTAGTATCCACATAAGCACATTTACATTTCTAGATAGATGTCATCCCATATCATGTAGCTGAGTTGGGGTGTAAACATACATATAAGTTCAGATAGAATGGGAAGTTGAACATTATAATTTGGAACACTTTTTGAGACCAGAAAAAAAAATTAAGTAGGTAGTCCGTACATGGGCATATAATATAACGTTATAAAAATTTTACAGGTTCAGTAGGAGAAAATTTCTCCTTTTAAAAACCAGAAAATATCTGATATGAAACTCGAAATAATGCGCATCTGGTAATTGTTGGAATGATATACGTAACCTCGTTTTGGTAAATGTTCCTTACACCACATGATCACAGAAATATTCCTTCTCTGCAATCTTTAAAACTTGGACCGTAGATCAATTTATTGCATGCAATAATATATACACATCTTCCATTGGTGTATGTCCTAATGAGACTATTCAATGTCCATTGATTGGTTTATCGATTGATTGATTGATTGATTGATTGATTGATTGATTGATTGATTGACTGT